CACACTACCTCTGGGGGTCATGATTTGAACAAGTTTGAATCCACACCATGTAAAGAAAGTTTTATATAAGTTTCAACTTTTTTGGCCCAGTGGTTCTTGAGAGTTGGGAAGAAGGTTTTTTTAAAGATACCACCATTTTTTTAATAAATAATTCTTAATTATCTCCCCTTGAAAGAGGGCATGGCCCTTCATTTGAACAAATTTGAATCCCCTTCACCCAAGAATACTTTGTGGGAAGTTTGGTTGAAACTGGCCTTGTGATTCTGAAGAAGAAGTCGAAAATGTGAAAAGTTTACAGACGGACTAACAGACGGACGATGGACAAAATATGATCAGAAAAGCTCACTTGAGCTTTCAGCTCAGGTTAGCTAAAAAGTAATCTTCACGAGATTTAGCTGAAGTGTTTTATATAGACTTTTTCAAGACTGATCAACTGAGTTAAGACCACCCCCTTCCTCCACCCCATTTGTCTTCCAAATTTACTCTGCATGTGATACGTATCTCAAGCTAACGGACTTTCAAATGAACCATGAAATCGTTATCATTATAATTCATTACTATTAAAATGATTATTAGACATGTTTCTTTTGTTTTTCTTTGTACGTCTCAAATGAGGGGAAATTCTCGCAATTTTTTCCTTTTCTTTCCGTTTCTTTTTTCATTGATTTCTTTTCTTTCCTTTTCTTGTTTTTTTTCCCTTATTTTTTCTTTCCTTTTTGTTTTGTGTAAACGTAATGAGGTGTGCAACAACTGTAAATTAGCTTTGTTTGCCAGTGAAATTTACTGGAAATTTACTGGAAAAAAATTATTGAGGGAGTACTTCCCTCCTCTCGATTCCTACTAACCTGAAACACCTTTCTTTCTCTATTTTGTCTCACGTACCGATCTTTTCTCTCTTTTTTAATCCCCTTTGTCGTTTATGTTGTCCAGCAATTCTCGTGAATTTCCTCCAGTCGGTTTAGAAATGTTTTTCAATGATCTTCGCCTTCTTTTCTGGTCTCGGGTGTTTATCCTCACTACGAAAGTTATCAGACTGATTTGTTGCGAAAATAAACAAGAAATGATTACCTTGTCAGTAGTGATGAATTTGGTCCATAAAGAACGACTGGTCTAGTTGTCCAAGACGATACGGGAAGCCAGTGCTTCATAGCATACTGCGTCTACTTTGCAGTAGGGTTCACGTATAATAATACCAACTGGCAAATGGTATTTCACCATTTTACAAAGTAAATTACGTCTTATTTGATAAAATGAAGAAGGGGCACTGTAGTTTCATTGATCAATTCATATATCACTGTACGAAATTAAACTGACTGAGGAACCTTGTCATCTGCTTCAATAACGGTATATTGAGTGATGTCTGGTTACTGGAAGTGAATGATGATTCTATCTCAGCATCAGTTGCTGCTTTATGAAGAAAGTTCTCCAGAATTTTCTATTTATCATTTAATGTCTGATATGTGGCCCTTTTCTTCTAACAACTTCCATAGTGGGGCAATAATAATTGTCGTCAGTCCAAGAAATCCTGGCAGTTTTAAAGTATGACATAAGTTGGGTTTTTTCCGTCAAGCGCAACTGATTTTAGTAAGTTATTTCGTTTACCTTAATTACAATGATTCGAGAAACAAAAGAATGCCCTTGTTATGATTGTTTTGCCTAAAAGATTGAAGCAAATTTGTTTAAACCGTATGATTTGATTTTTTCACCTCCTTTTATTTTAATTGGAGTTTCCATGGCAAGCTCATACAATTTTCCTTCCTCTGAACATGCAAATGCTTAATGTAAAGTGTTTATAAACCATCACTCTTATTTCAACATGTATATTATTTCCTCAGTTTTAAACATGCTGCAGACTTTATGTTCTTTCCAACATTATAATCTATCCCAATTTTTTTTCACAGAAGTGTGCTATTTCTACAATCAATGAAATATGAAGATAACAAACTACAGTGATCAAGCTTAAACGTCCATTGGAACAATACAAATTGAGAGCAAAGCAAACACGGGCCTCGTAAAACATCAGAGGTTGGATCAGGTGTCATAGAGGGGTAAGCATCCCCTGTCGATCTGTCACACCCGCCATGTGCTCTTTGTCATGATCAGGCAAACAGAAAAATCCGTAGGAAATTCAGTGTGAAAATATTGGCCTTACAATTAGTATGAAAACCGTCAGTCAACATTCGACTTAAGATAGATTGTATTTGCTAAAACGGTCATTGCATAGACCATAGAATTTGCGAGATGTTGACTTTACATGAGACTGTTGATATTCTTGTTTCATAAACTCATTTGTCAATAGCTTGCCTCGTTTCAGAAATTGTTCGTATGTAGAACAAACTCTTGCGTATCGAATCAACTGGGAGACATAAACTCCATATGCAAGTGAAAATGGTATATTGCTACATAAATAAGGGAAGTTGACGATAGAAAGTCATCACGTTTATCATAAAGTTTTATTGTTAATTAGTTGGCCATTAATTTCAGATGTGTCAGACTCTGTGGTTTCTCTATTTCGAGTTCAAAGAGATAGATCGAATCAACATAGGAATGAAAATGAATATCAAATGCAATAAACACAAACCACAAAAGAAGTAATTCAGGTTGGATCTAAACTCCTCTAGGAGGTTGTTGAATGCTTTTTCCGTTGCTGACCCTTTTTTCATAACAATGGAGAATTCACTTGATATTTTATTCCGAATGTCCTGTTCAATTTTGTTGAACATTTTCCGTAAACAAAGAATTGTGAAGTTTGCTCAGGACTCGACAGTTACAACATAAGATTAATAGACTTCACTAATTTGGAATGTTTCATCTGTGCAAACTGTGGTATTTATTTTTTTAAGTTTTCTGTATGTAAATTCTTTTTCTTTGATTGGGAGATACAATTTTTGAGCCACTACTTTTTGACAGTTGCAGCTGAAGGCACAGTTTTAGGATTTTTCCCACAACTTTTATGACAACGCCAACTTTATTTTAGATGGGACCATTAAATCTGTTTTATATACTGAAAAGTTTCATCACTGTATTTTTTTTTAAATCAGATTCTTGGGTGTGTCTTCTTACAAGGATAGCATATATTGAATACTCTTCTTATAATCCGCAATGTTCTTTTTTTTTTTAAATGATTTTGCATTTGTCTCCATTTTCACACAACCCCCAATCTTTGACAATAGAAGATGTATCCTTGCCACGTTAGACTTTAAATGTTTTTAAAGTTGAATCACTTTCCTGTATCTTTCCTTATATGACTGTTAATTATATCAATATTTATCTTTCATTAAAGATCCTGTTTCTATTTATCTCTAACCTTCCTTCCTAACTGTGTATATGTAGATGTTTTGTTCTGAATGTTGTAATTGTTTTTCAGCTGTCTTAATTCTGGCTTAATTCCAACTGAAGTCAAAATTTTAAATTTGTATAACTTTTGAATTAATAAAGCAAATAAAACCAAATTTTCATTGAGCGTTTATATTTCAATATTTTACAAACTTGCAACTTTTCAAATATATATATTTTCTTTATTGAGTTTTTTTTTATTCCTTATTCTTATTCCTTAAAGTATTGGGTTTTGTGAATTTTGCACACCACAGCGTTTGCATTTATAACATCATTGTCAACATTACATATTTTGATAACCATATTGGTAGGTCTGTTAAAAATTCTAAATATTTTGATTTGCTCATTTATACAAAGTATCTTTCTCTCCTGCCGTGGAAGAACCACACAATTACTTTTGTTTCTACCGAGTGGTTTACAATAGCTATGTAGCATACGTCTGTCTGCACAGGTGACAACTGATTACACTGAACAGTGACTATGAGAACGGCTTATATAAGGAACCTCGACTAAATCGATTGAATAAAAGAATATGGCGGATGTCACATTAAAATCATCCTATCATACTTTTGGTAATGTATTTTAAAGTTCCTTTGTTTTAAGTATGTTATTACTGTACATATCCTTCACTGAACCTCAATTCAGTGAGACCTTAAAACCCGCCAGTCCGTGCAAGTTAGTTTTGGACACGGCAGTCCAGAGAGGAAGGCGCTTTTACCCCCTCTCAGATTGTTTTGTAACCAGCATTAATAGTTACACCGAGTACCAGTATTACTTGCAGGGCTTACTTTGTATTTCTTGTGTGTAATGGTCCAGCTTTTCTGAGGTAAGGTTTATGTTTATAATTTTATCTTAGTTATTTTCTTGTATCATTCATTTGTCCTAAAACACCCAGTCACCGCATTTCTCATCAGTTTTAGCAAGTATGTTTTGTTTAATGTGATTACTATATATAGCAACACGTATTTGAATATTTATAAGTATGGTGTACAATTTCCGTCATAATAATTTGTCCGTAAAGTAGCAATTCATAATACTGCATTTGTGTATGGGTTGTATGTATAGTTTAAACATCTCATGTGTGTTTGAGTCTTATCTAAGACGTGTACATTATCTATAAATCTGATAATGAGCAAAGTATGTATTTGTATTAAGACACAAGAGCCTATTAGTGAAACTTGTGTATGTGTATGTTGGAGCAGGTTCCATCCATCCATAGCTTAAAGTCTATGTAGAGACTGTGTGGAGAGGCCACCCAGTGCCTTGAGAGAGTCCGCCCTTGGGCCCTAGTGATCTTCCTCTAGACGGTGGAGTGGAAGGCGGCAGGACAAAAACCCATTATAGGACAAACAACGAATCTTATATATTTGTACATTTATTGGAATTAAATATGTAAATTATCTGGACAAAGCTTTTGGGATATATTTAAACTTAGTAAAAAAAAATAGTAAATCCGCTCGACTGTGACAGTGGACAAATTCTTTTTCCGAATCTTTTTCAGTTTTAAAATTCTTTAAGCGCCTTTCAGATGGTGTGGATGATATACGGATGAGCCAAGATTCATTGAGAGAGGCATACCGGTAATAACTTAGTCACATGAACAAGCCAACAAAATATCGCAAAGAGTTTATTAAATTAAAACAATTAAGTTAGACAAACCGTTATCTATTAAATAAGAAAAGTCAGTACACTTTATAAATAGATTTGTGAGTTCATTGGACCAAAGGTTGAGTTACTTCAGTATCATAACTTGGATTGAGAATTCAGACAGCTCTGGACGAGGTCGGCAGCCTCCATACTAGTACCCCAACTCAGACCAATACCGTCTGAACAATGTCCATAATTATGAACAACCTTTCCATTAAAAAACAATAACAACAAATCAAACTTCTGTGTATTTTGACTCAAAGACTGCAAACATATGTACTAATTTAGTTATCTACCTTTAAAAAATAAAATGAAATATAACAAAATTCATTACAATTTAAATCATTCATCGTCATGGCATTACTAAAACTTAAATCGACAAATAAAATACCATAAAAAGTGATAAACTGATACCACTTAAGTGACTATTCATATGAATAGAGCAATTCATGAAACAGTGTAAGTAAAGATATGTAAAGAATATAACCTACACAATCTTTTTTTAAATAATATAGCATCAGGAATTTACAAAAATAAACAATCATAACACATACTCGAAACAATTCGTACTTACAGTTAATTGCCCATGGTCAGACTTAATAACTTCTTTTTCAAGTCTAAGAGGGGAGCGAATCGGCCTCAACCCAACCCATTCATTGTAAACATCTGCTGACTGGAACAGTTCACGTTTAATAGGTACAAGTTTTTCAAAAACATTTAAACTCTTAGTTATGTAGGCAATTTTACAAAATATGGTATTATTGTATTTGTTGTTGATTACTTAAACTATTTCAAATATGTTAAATTTAAGAAGATCGGTGAACATGGCGAGCGAAAAGCCTATTGTGTGACAAACATGAAGGTGAAAAATTAAATCTCAATTATATAAAAATTTTCCTTGATATTTCATCTAGCATTAAAATATACTTTATGTAAAATCTCTACCATTTGCAAAAATCCCTTAAAGATTGAAATCATTTGCCTATGAGATATTATACACACACTTAAGAGGGCAAAAAGAGTCATTTTCTCATACTATAACACTATTTTTCGATATGAGTGGGTCTTCGCTCCATGTTTTTCAAAGTTAATCCTCAAAGTTTGCATGAAAATATACATTTTTTGATTACTATATACCTTAAAAATATACTTTTATGACACAACATTCGCATTTTTTCGAGAAATACTTGAAGTCCATTCAGTCAAGGATCATATCACAAACATGATTTAAATGCCACCCTTCATCAGGACTTGTGTAGTCTAGTGGTTAGCGTGCTAGTCTCGAAAGAAAATGATACGCAGGATTTTTATTGCTTCGGGTTCGAACACCACGAATACCAAATTATTTTTTTAATTAACGAATAAATTTTGCGGAGAAAATTTTCCTCAGAAAAGTTTTGTTTATCATAATTTCATAAATTTCAATAATGAGAACTTTACTCAAAATACTAAATTCACAAATTGAACATGATTTTTTATGTCTCCGAAGCTGTAGGCTCTCTGCACGCTATGTTCGCCCATCTCCTTTTTTATCGAAAGCAAACCAGTGAAAATATTTATTTTAGCTACAGTTGTATATGCCTGTAGTTACCAATATATCACCGATTTGATAATTTTCAATTTTTCATGACTAAAGGTGACTTACTATTTAAAAAAAGTAAAAATCTAGCGTACCTTTAAGGAAGGACAAATTTTGCAACATCTCTCCATTATTCCTTTTGAATCTTCTTGACTTATGGATGTATTGAAGTTATTATCTTCCCTACAACCTCCAACTGCAACCAAGTCCTGACTGTAATAAAACAAAAACAACACCAACAAACATTAGAAACTATTTTAAAGAACAGCTGTAAAAGACTTTTGCACAGATTTCTAAATGACTTCACTTACTTTGGTATAATATATGCATCCCTGTCTGTATATACGCAATATTTTATCCATGGCGCCTTTACCTTTCCAACACAGAAACGATAGTGACATGTATATTTCAAAACCGATAGTTGTAGTAAATCTAGATGAAATTCCGTTTATAAAGTTTAATTATACTGTATATAGTGTTATGTTAATCATATATATGTTAATTTTCAAAATACAAGCTTTCTCAATGCCTCATCTCTAAGTTAATACCCTCAGAAGTTGGCCTCGATTTGGAATAATGGTTTTGTCTCCGAACAGCTGTCGGCTGCCTAATGCAGAGCAATTTACAATGACATCGCATCGTCCAACAAACTGAAAAATAAAATTTGAAAGGTGTTTATATGCACATTTCGCATTATGGCAATTTTTTTAATCTTATGAGTATTCTTAACTTCTTTACATATCAATATACTGTTCATTAAAGATCTCAAAGTTTATTGATAATTTATAGGGGAAAAAACTCATCTCATTAAGCGTCACTCAATGTCAATTTACAGTGAAGTTCCTCTTTTCTGAAGTGTCTGTTCATATTTGTAATAGACCATTTGACCTCAATATTTGTTTCTTATAACATGATTTTCATAACATCAACTTTTTATTATTTTAGCATTTACCCGAGTTTCCGGATTGGAAACCTAACTTTAAGATTAAAGAACAATCTTGGTGTTTAGGCTAAACTCTATGAGCTTAATAAATTCAGTTTTACTTATTATAAAGAAAAAGATTGCATTAACAGTTAAAATGCATGTATTATGTTTAGTGTATTAACAGTTAAGGTACATGTATTAGGTTTAGTGTATTGACAGGTTAAGGTACATGTATTAGGTTTAGTGTATTAACAGTTAAGGTACATGTATTAGGTTTAGTGTATTAACAGTTAAGGTACATGTATTACGTTAAGTGTATTAACAGTGAAGGTACATGCATCATGTTTAGTGTATTAACAGTTAAGGTACTTGTATTACGTTAAGTGTATTAACAGTGAAGGTACATGCATTATGTTAAGTGTATTAACAGTTAAGGTACATGTATTAGGTTTAGTGTATTGACAGGTTCAGGTACATGTATTAGGTTTAGTGTATTAACAGTTAAGGTACATGTATTAGGTTTAGGTATTGACAGGTTAAGGCACATGTATTAGCTTTAGTGTATTAACAGTTAAGGTACATGTATTAGGTTTAGTGTATTAACAGTTAAGGTACATGTATTAGGTTTAGTGTATTAACAGTTGAGGTACATGTAATATGTTTTGTGTTTTAACAGTTAAGGTACATGTATTAGGTTTAGTGTATTAACAGTTAAGGTACATGTATTAGGTTTAGTGTATTGACAGGTTAAGGTACATGTATTAGGTTTAGTGTATTAACAGTTAAGGTACATGTATTAGGTTTAGTGTATTGACAGGTTAAGGTACATGTATTAGGTTTAGTGTATTAACAGTTGAGGTACATGTAATATGTTTTGTGTTTTAACAGTTAAGGTACATGTATTAGCTTTAGTGTATTAACAGTTAAGGTACATGTATCAGTTTTAGTGTATTGACAGGTTAAGGTACATGTGTTTAGTGTATTAACAGTTAAGGTACATGTATTAGGTTTAGTGTATTGATCGGTTTAGGTACATGTATTAGGATAAGTGTTTTAACAGGTTATGGTACCTATATTAGGTTTAGTGTATTAACAGTTGAGGTACATGTAATATGTTTTGTGTTTTAACAGTTAAGGTACATGTATTAGGTTTAGTGTTTTAACAGTTAAGGTACATGTATTAGGTTTAGTGTATTGACAGGTTAAGGTACATGTATTAGATTTAGTGTATTAACAGTTAAGGTACATATATTAGGTTTAGAGTATTAACAGTGAAGGTACTTGTATTAGGATAAGTGTATTAACAGTTAAGGTACTTGTATTAGGATAAGTGTATTAACAGTTAAGGTAAATGTGTTAGGTCTAGTGTATTAACATTAAATGTACATGTGTTAGGTTTATTTCATAATTAGACGTATAGAAGAATTATACAAGAATTAGTTTCAATCGGCATCTCTTACCTCATCTATATTCACAACACGTCTTTGTTCAATTTTCCCGCCACTTTCGAGAAACCTATTAAAGAAATTATTTTTATTCCAAAATTGAATACTTATGCTTTAGAATATCACAGAACATGTAATGATATCAAACATATCATAGTATATTTTAATTTGCCTGATATGAAAAAAAACACGACGAGAAAAGATATTATTATCGGGCGAGGTGAAGCAAAGTCCTGATATTTTTTTTTAATCTTTTCTTAGTCCATCGGTATTTTTTCTTTCGTTTAAGGGAACTAAGTTACAAATGAATTTATATATTTTATCTAAATACACCTAATCAAATAATATCAAATGCTATGGCTTGTCATTTCTTCTCCAGACGCTAAAACATCTACATGTAATTGGCCTATCACTTCGAGGCCATTAAGCATAGGTGCATGATATGACCGTACATAATACATAGAGGATATTCAATGTTTTGTAGATGAATATGGTATTTATTTCACGAGTGGGACATGCTTTTTTGATATTTTCACGAGTGTGAAGCACTAGTAAAAATATCAAAAAATCATATCTCACGAGTGAAATAAATTCCATATTCATCTACAAAACATTGAATTTTCTGTTTATCACATTTTCTTAGATTTTCCCTTTCCCTCTGTCTTTTCGTAACACAATGTCATAGGCTGTGACGTCGTAGTTGAGCGGTTGAGACGTCATAGCTAAGCGATTGCGAGATTGAAAAACGTTGTAAACATGGATTTTAACATATTTGGAAAAACTTCGGTAGAATAACTTTTAGTCTCTGTCAGGATGGCTCATTAACTCTATCTTATAACGGGCCAGGGATTTATTTAAAAACACTCTTCGTGAAGGGAACGAAAATCTTAAGTTTTGCCGCACTTCTGATATTTTCACACTGTGAGAATACCATGCATTCACACTGTGTCAGAATATCACTTTTATTCAGTAAATAAATAGAGGATATTCAATGTTTTGTAGTTGGATATGGAATTTATTTCACGAGTGGGACAGGATTTTTTTTATATATTTTCACGAGTGCGAAGCACGAGTAAAAATATAAAAAAAAGTTCTGTCTCACGAGTGAAATAAATTCCATATCCAACTACAAAACATTGAATTTTCTGTTTATTATATTTTCTTTGATTTTCCCTTTGCCTTTGTCTTTTCTTAACACAGCACATTATAGGTTCCTGGCTGTGACGTCATAGTTGAGCAGTTGAGACGTCATAGCTTAGACAGTTGTGAGATTGAAAACATTGTAATATGAAATTTAGCAATATATTTGGGAAGAAATTGACAGTTTTACTCTCTTTCAAGGTGGTTTAGTTACTTTCTCTATCTTATTACTGCCAAAAATTATTTTTTTACTTACTTTGATATCCTTTCACACTGTGACAGAATATCACTTTTATTCAATAAATAAATCACAGTATTTCACTGTTGAAAATGTAATAAATTACAGTATTTCACTGATGAAAATGTAATAAAAAAGATGACTGCATGGATTGGAATACATTTTTGGACTTACTGTGACTGTAAATGATGCATATATAAAATTTGTTAAATATCAAGAAAATGTACTTTCTATGATGTTCAAATTTCTTCTATCTGCCATCACCCTTAGAATTTTTTACATTTTTTAAACACTTTATTTAGGACATTATTGAGAAACTTTGAATAGAAAAGTGAAACTTTGTGCGGCTAAACTTATTTGTTTACCTATATAAACATATATCTCGTTGTTATTGTCATTTTTAAGAGAAAAAAATTCTTATAATTAATCTGTCCTTAAAACGTATCTAACTCAAGCTGAATTGTCCAGCGACTGTACACAGTTAAATTGTAATTAATATCAAAACATTAAAAGCTTGCAGGGAAATATTTATTATGCTATTTGAAAACATATCTAATCCTTGAATTAATTCATATAAGATATAGATACTAGTAGACATCAAAGTAGATATTAACGTACGCACGCATCTATCTCCCCAGTTACATACATTGTATGCTTAAGTATGTAATCATTCCTCTTAAAAAAATGTCTACATGTCCATCAGAGGAGGCTCTTATCTTTGACACCGATAGACAAGCTGAAGGTTTTTTTTTTTCAATTCATTAACTTTAATTTAGAAATAATATTGATCGACATATTTTAACGAGTACCCGAGTAAAAAAAATATTAAGTTGATAGTCGCCATGACCGAGTGAAAGTCGAGTGTTTGAATGCTGGTTGACATTCCTACGAAGAAGCTAATGAACCACAACGAAAATTAGGACACAAAATCTCTGTTGTATTAGTCCGAGATTAAATGACAAAAAACCTTACCTTTTGAGAAGCCAAGCAAGGTATATCTTTGTTGTTATAACAACTGTCGTAACAAGATATCCAAACCTAGAAAAAAGTGCTAACACTTTGGTATGTATGTTAATTGCTTTTGATTTATTTCCCCCCATTTCATGATTTTTTTTCCAAGTGTTTTTATTTTCTGCTAATTTTGTACTGTAGATTTATCTTCAAGAGATGTGCACAAACATTTTTTTTTCGCTCGAGAATTAAATTTCCAATCCTTTTAACCATTTGTTCTACAATTTCATTTTTTGATCTTTTTATATTTTGGAAATTAACTATGTTTATTAAGTTTAAGTTTATTATAATCATTTTTCATTCCTAGTTATCACATCAGATATGCCTCAAAGTTTTTCAAAAGGTAGTGAAATTCTAAGGTCACTGTCAAATGGTTAAAATGGAAGGCCTTTTCACACGGAATACACCTATGAAATATAAAAGCCCTAGAACTAACCATTCAAATATGATAGCCAAGGTTAAAGTTTTTCAAAAGTAGACCAAACTCCAAGGTCAAAATTGTTGGTACCAAATTGTGATCTTGTCAATCAAATACACCTGTGAAATATAAAAGCCCTAGCACTAACCGTTCAAAAGTTATGGCCAAGGTTAAAGTTTGGTAAAATTTTGAAAAGTAGATCAAACTACAAGATCAAGAGGACAAGTATGCTGGTACCCAAAGAAAGGTCTTGTCACAAGGAATGCACCTGTGAAATATGAAAACCTTAGCCTCAACCAATCAAAAGTTAAGGGCAAGGTTGAAGATTTTGCTGACAAACAGATAAACAGACAGAGACGCTGACAAACAGACAGACGGACGGACAGACAGTGCAAACAACTTTTTGCCCCCGAATCTTCGATTACGGGGCATATTGTTTTGAAATCTCAACTGCCACGATTAAAAGAACATTTTTTTATTTTCTGAAATTCTAAATTCTCTATATTTCTATGCAACTCGAAATAGTCACCTTAAAGGGGCATGGTCACACTTGCAAATGCCATTTTGTTTATAATTTCAATTTTAGATTTATAGTAAAAAATAACTTCAGTGTAATGATTTGAACTTATATGAAAAGTTTTAATATGTAATCACAGCCGTATTCTTCATAACCTTACATCAAACACCTGTTTTTTTGTAAAAATGAGCACGAGCTGTGTTACTGGGGTGTAATGTTTTTTTTTTTAACATCACAAATCTCTTGATTTTCATAAATATTAAAGATAAATTTTATGTTGTGAAAATGTATGACAATTAAACACACCCGAATTTTTATTTTTTCAAATGATTTTCATATAAAAGGAGCTTCTAAATATGCTTTTGTAATATATTAGACCGAAACGCTCTTGCAATGTGTAAGACATGAATTTCTACCAAAACTTTTGATGGATATAAACTTCAAAACTGTGTCCATGAGCATTTTTTTTAAATTTACCAATTTTTTTCTCGCCAAATGCAATTACTTTGATCAAATGTAGGTTAATATTTTTGTATGGCCTCAAGTATATATATAGAGAGAGAGAGAAAGAGAGAGAGTAATATTTCCAAAATATTACTACTTCCTATTGGTAAATAAACAAGTTAAACTTTAAATCAAGGTGTGTTTCAGTACCAATTTCATATTTTCTATCTCAGAGTTTTGTCCACTTACTTAAAGTGTTTGCTAAAGCCCAGTTTTCTCATTTCGTCCTCACTTAAATCGTGAAACGTGAACACAACATCTTTATAAAGAGGATCCTATATCAATAATTAAATAAAACTTGTAGTTGTGTGTATTGTATAATACTTCTATCAATAAATATTTTTAAAAAAAAGACTAAATAAAATCAAGAAATACGATCATGAATTACTAGTATACTGAATAAAAGAATCAATATAACTGGGCAATAGCCAAAGGAGATCGCCATCTTTAATTTCCTTTCATAAAAATAAAGATAGAAGTTCTAGACAGTGATTAAAGGCTTCAGATATGTCATGATTATCAAGAAAAAACAAATACTAGGCTTCAGATATGTCATGATTATCAAGAAAAAACAAATGAACTTTGAAGACAAACCTATAATGACATGACTTTCACTTCAGCATGTAGTTTCAAATGAAAAAAAAATGAGTCATTTTTTAAGAGCTTCAATTATTCAACTTTCATGGTTTGAGGGGGGAAAGAATGCTGAAGATTTGATTTCGTGGTTGTAGTAGTATGGAAGATAAACATGATATAGAAGTTTGAAATTTGATTTTTCATGTAGGATATCAAATCGTGGATTCCTTCATACCATGAAAGCAATGAAAAGTAACCCCCAAAGAAAATTAGCGATTTCACAATATAATGCCTGATTAGAAAATGATGGAGAAAGTCATAGTGCCAACAGAATTCGAACCTGAAAGTAAACGTTAAAATCTCTCTTTACAGTGAAAAATCCACCTGAGCTCCCTATATCTTTTGTTTATTAAAAAAAGCGCTTCCTTGGTTTTGCTGTTCTTGAAAAGAAGATATTTTAAGTTTTTCCTGTACATTCCTATGTAAAACCTAGTTCGCCGATTGTTGTCACACCCTACTCCAGGGGGTCATGAATTGAAGAAATTGATTTGCCACTATGTAAAGATTATTCCGTACGAATATGACAAATCATGGCTTTGCTGTTCTTGAGATGGGTTTTTTAAAAAGATTTTTCCTTATATTCCTATGTAAAACTGTTCACCCATTGTGGTCCTACCACCGATGATCATGATTTGAACAAATTTGCATCTACCATGTCAGAAAGTTTTCACATAAGTTTCATCTTTTCTGGCCCGGTGGTTAAAGATTTTTAAATGGCCCCACCTAATTTTCACTATTTCTTAATTATCTCCAATTGGAAGAGCGTTTGGCCCTTCAATTCAACAAACTTGAATTCCTTCCCCAGACTATACTCTGTGCCAAGTTTTGTTGAAATTGACGCAGTGACTGGAGAAGATAAAAAGTTAACAATGACAATGACAAGACAACAACGAGAGACAACGAACAAATTTTGATCAGCTAAAAGAAAAAAAGCACAAAAGAATCGTTCTGCAGCTGTTATTTCAAATCATATGAGGGATTGGGGGAGGATGTAACAGCATCTGCTAGTCAAAATCAATTGTAAATTCACCTCTATATAGCTTGTCCATTAGATTAAAGTTAAAATACACATTTCTGTGTATTATAGCGGATGAATAAATCTTCATTTACCTTAATTTCTGTTTGACTTAACATGAATGAAGGTGTTATAGCAATACCCGCACGACCAGCTTCTTCTGACATTGCTAAAGAGGAAAAGTGGTCCCATCCGTCTCGTGTCCATTTCCTGTAGAGACAGCAAATATTACAGCAATATGAGCTGCAACTTTGATGTAGGTAACTTTTGTTGCAAAATTGTAATTATTAATTTCAATGACAGAAAAAAAATGTTTATAATAAACTTCTGTTGTTCATATTTGCAATGGAAGAACTATTTATAAGCTATGATTGAAGCAAAATTACATTTTTGTCGTCCTGTAAAATATTGATTTCTTAATATGATATTTATATGGATTCGATTGTACAGAGGTGTTTCTTCTGAAACAATTTAATACTTTATTGTAGTCTTATTGATCATAAAAGTTTCAATTACATAAAATTTATCATAATAACACATTTTAAGAGCAAAATAAAATTCTCAAAAATGCAGCTCAAAATAATGTAATGTAATGTAAAAAATGTAATTGCTTTATATTACAAGGGGGAAAAGATTGTTAACAAATTCAGCATTAACCTTGACCAAAAAAATTTTAGTGTTCTTTACTTGGCTTTTTCTAAGTTAACTCCTGGAATATAATCTGCAGTTGGTCTGAAGATAGCACCAGCTCCAAAACTTGTTGTTCCTTCGATTATGTGTTCTGCTACAATAGTCACGTGACAAGATGGAAGAAGACGTTGTATGTTGATGGCGGTAGAGAGGCCAACAACACCAGCGCCGATAACTATCACGCCAACCATGTCCTATGTACAGAATTTAAAAGAAAAACACATATTTAGAGTATCAAGTTGGTTTAATAAACACTAGGACCCAGTCGTGAATAAATTACAAATTTTTAACGTAACTTTTTCCCACGCTGATTCTTAGGAATATAAGATACATGTACCGGTAATATACATAGAGGATATTTTATATATACTGTTGCTTTCTAAAATATGTCGAAATTGTGTATATTACACACATTCTGATTTCGTAAATCTTCAATTCTGTATTTTTCCTTGTTTCAGTAGACCGCATAGTTTACTAGGACGTATACTGTGGCCAAGTTGACATGCTGCAAGTTATTTGTATATAATTTACAAAATACGAAAACGGAGAATACAATGTGTCTATTAAAGGGGCATGGACACAGTTCCATTGATTACAATTTTAAATGTCTATCTTTATTCAAAAATAACTTCACTTTCATATAAACTTACATGAATATTCGAAGAATGCAATGACAACGACATTCCTAATAACATCACGTCAAACACCTGTGTTTGTAAACAGGGCACGACCTCTGTTATCGTTAAGTGTTTACGTTTTACCGGGAGTGTTCGATTTGTTGCACTGAGCACGGACTAACAATACTTTTGAGTCCGTTTTGCTTTCTCGTATTTCTACTCTGAACTTTCTGGATTATAGTTTTTATATTTTTCATTAATACATGCTGAAATTTCTACTTAAGAATTAAGAACAAAGTTTACTTTGTGAGAATGCAAGGACACGTTTCAATCAAAGGCGTCCCGAAAATCGTAGATTTAATAATTTCCAGATAGAAGAATTTTCTTAACACGCTTTTAATATATTTCAGTTTGAAATGCTCTAGCAACATATAAGTCTGATTTTAGAAAATATAAATTTCAAATCTGTGTCCCAGCCCCAAGCCGCGAACTAAGTCGATAAAATATAGGTAGCAACTGTTCCTTCGCCAAGCGCTCGGCAATTTGAAGTGAAAGTTGCGGGTCCTTCGCATGAGACCTTAAAAACCGAGGCCCCGTGTCACGACAGGCGTTTGCACGATAAAAATCCCTCACTGCTCAATGGCTCTGAGTGAGTGCCGAGTAAAGGTCTAAATTTGAAGCCCTTCACCGGTTTATGGTGACGTCTCTATATGAGTGAAAAATTCTCGAACAGGACGTAAAACAACATAAAATCAATTTTCAATGTTAATCATAATACGGATGTGATAACTGCTGCGTTCACTTAATATCCCTCAATGGTAAGACAAATCACATATGTCCATCTCCACCGTGAAAAACATTCTGCATCTCAAACATTCACTCAAAATACTTGTGTGTATGTGTGTATCTTCTATTAACGTTATTAATGTATTATGGATTTCTTGTCCTTGTTTTCATAAATACATTCATCAATTAAAAAAACATATGGAAAGACATCAATTTGTCAATTTAAATTATATGCTTTTAAAAGACTATCAAAGTTGGTATATAAAAAGCAGATGTATGTTATGTTCCGTTTCAAGTTTCCAGTGTCTTTTTAACCACGTGTGCAGCAAACTATGAAGTGTCAATATCTGATTTTTGGAAATTAGGTTTAACACAAAGGATCTGCGATGAATCATGAAGCTTGGACTTAGTGCTAACCAAGATAATTCGAAAACTTGTAGAGAAAGCGAGGAACGGTATGTACACGTACCGTGTTTATTTATTTACTTGTAATCCTTTTCTTAAGGGACATAGACACACTTTCATTGTCATTCCATTTACAATTCTTTATTTCTCTTTTTATCTTCATTGTGAATAAAGCTTAAGGTTTTGCCAAATGCCAACATGTACACAAATTTATTTTTACAATAGCTCCAAAACTATGTGGTTTATATAGTTAAAACTTTTACAGTTTATAAATATATCATTGATTAACCGATAGAAAGTATCACTTGATAACAAATATTTCAAAAATAATATTTATCGAGAAAAATTCTTTTTAAAAAATGCATATATTTTTTAAAAATGCACCTAATTATTTTCGTACTTTTAGTGAAAGCCATCATTGCAGAAACAATATATGTTTATCAATGATGGGTGAGTTGGACTTCGATAACCTCTGGAAAGTTGTTTTCCCTGTTTATTTTGTCCAAATGTTAAGATTTGAAACCGAAAGTACATTGCAAATGGCGGATTTTATAGGGGTCTTGTCTTTATACATGTCATGCTTTCAATAACAGCCTTTCAGAGACTTGCCCTTTATTGATAAACATATATTATTTCTGCAATGATGGCTTTCACTAAAAGTACAGAATTAAGCAGGCGCATTTTTTACAATTTTTTTTAATTTTGTTTTTCTCAAAAAATATTTTTTTTAGATATTTGTTTTCAAGTGATACTGTCTATCTGTTAATCAATGATACATTTATAAACTGTAAAAGTTTTAACTTTATACCTCACATAGTTTTGGAGCTATTGTAAAAATAAATTTTTGGACATCTTGACCTTTGGCAAAACCTTAATGATCTGAACTTACATGAAAAATCTCAATATTCAGTGACAACGGCATTGTTCATAATTTTTGAAATACAACAGAGACATTTTTTAAATTTCTGATTATCCGTTTCTCTAGTATATGGGTTATCATAACTGAAAAGATCTCGTAATATGCAAGTCATGAAATTCTACAAAAAAAATTAACTGAACTGTGTCTATGCCCCTCTAAAGTTGGTATAAAAATACAAAAGAACTTACATATAAAGCTTTCCTGTGTCCTTCTGTAGCACGATAAAAGTGTGACCAGTATGCCTAGTATATATTGCCAATAGTGTGTAGCGTGTAACATGTACCGGAAACGGTTATGGACACCCGCAGTGATCTTTCTCAGTATATACACTTCTCATAGCTAGTTAAATGTTTACAAATGAGTGTCCTGATAATTTAGTTCAATTTGACCTGGGTTTTTTAAAGTTCAATGATAATAAAAGCCTTTCTTAATAGCTTTATTAGGGATTTTTGAAGAAATTCACTAGCAGACTTAAAGGTTAATGAAAGTCAGATATATATATATATATATATATATATATATATATATATATATATATATATATATATATATATATATATATATATATATATATATATAAGCTTTACTTAACACATGTATTACATGTAATTTCAAAGTTTGAATGTTTATTTCATTGAGTAGACAGTTAAAGCTCTTGGAGAAGCCTAATTTAGGCAGTATTAAATTTGTCATTATTATATTTTCTTTTTTTTTTTTTTTTTTTTTTTTTGAAAGAGGGGGATGTTAATATCGAGCATTGATCAATAATACACAGTTCCTACCTGTCATGTCCTATACTAATTGTTTCTTTTTTCTTTATTTTTCTTTTTTTTTCTTTTCTTTTTTTTTTTTTGGTCAATGTTTATTAAGATGGAGTCATTCAGAGTCTTTGACTAGGTCAGATGTCACATGCTATTTTATGTAATCATCCTTTAAACTTCATTTAAGAATTGTACAAAGTTTCAAGTATAGAACTTTTCATCCTCTCAAGCCTTAAATGGAAAACTGCACCTGTAAGCGTAGATGTCCAGTTGATAACTAAAGGGCAGAAAGTACTTTATCCGTAATTTCAACTGGAAGAAAACAAAACGCCCAAGTCTGGATCGAAGTCAATAATAAGACCAAACATTTTATAAGGCAATGTATATAACTGTGTAACTGTGTCTTTTTTATTAAATTGTATTTGAATTGTTTTTAAATAAGTATGTTATTGTTCTAAACAAATCCAAATATATATAAGCACAATGAAAATTATTTCATAATTATTTGACCGACTAGATAAAATCCTGCGCAAGGGCGGGGAATTGAATTTTGACCAATACTGACAGTATAATTCCAATAATATATCTTATTGTTTCTACTGACAGTTAATTACATGCTTAAAGCAGGAAGAATTCGTTGTTCAAAATCTCGCAGTTAGTTTCGGAGCAGAATATAACCCCCCCCCCCCCTCTTTGCAAAAATGAAAAATAACCATGTAGTAATTGACGTTTATTTTGATACTTGGTATACATGTCGGGTGCACTTCGGGTGTCTTATTCAATTTCCTTTTAGGAAATATGAAGCAAATATGCACATTTTACTCATCTGATAGTCGCCCGCGTGGCGCAGTGGTTAGAGCGTTTGCCCTAGAGTCGCGGAGTAAGGAGCTGATCCTTAGGTAGTGGGTTCGAATCCACTGCGGGACGTGGAGACCGGTCCTTCGGATGAGACCGTATAAACCGAGGTCCCATGTCGAAGTAGGTGTTGGCACGCAAAAGATCCCTCACTGCTCAGTGGCCCAGAGTGCCGAGTATAGGTATAAATTTGCAGCCCTCCACCGGCAAGTGGTGGCGTCTCCATATGAGTGAAAAATTCTCGTGAGGTATGTTAAACAACAAACCATCAAACTCATCTGATAAAGTCAGCACACTGTTTGTAAAAAATAGCTTTCAACACCTGATGTACATGTACAGGCCTAATATTTGATACAAAAGACTGTGTTCAGAGAAAAAAAAACCCAATGGAATGTACTAATTAATGCACAAATTTTCACAGCTTTAGTTATAATATTTGAACAATACCATATAAGTTATCAAGTTTATTACGAAATACAAATTGACCTTCGGATTCGTTGCCATAATGCTCCCCGTGACGAATATGTACATTTTACTGACAAATTTATTGGCTCAACCTACTAATAATCTTTCGATATATAAATATATTCATAACTTACAGTGTTATCAATTGCTTTACCATTATTTCCAGGCCCATTCCTACCAAAACTTTTTTTTTTATATTCAATAGGTGATTCGTTTTTTTTTTTCTTTTTACCATCGGGTTCGATGCCATATGATGTTTTAGAAATTTCCGTCAAGAAATCGGTTAACACAACTTATTTATTTTATATCGCTTTAGCCTTACATGTTTATCAAGTTTTGATTGAATAATTCAGTAATGACGTTTTATGAAATAAATAAACGATCGCTTATTGTCAGTTACATTAAAAATTGCCAGTAACTTAGATCCACCAACCGTAACCACCACCATATTCTCTTTTTTGCTATTTTATGGCTGTTTATCGGAAATGATAGAGACTTTTAATCAAATTTACTATAATTACTATGCGTACCTAGTGTATTTTTACAGGTAAGTATGAACTGCAGGAGTTTCGGAGTTTATTTGCAAAATCTATTATTTCATAAACATAGATATGGCCAGCACATTCCATATGATTATCAAAGATCATTTTCAAAATATGCTGATGAAATACAGAAGGTAAACATTGCACATGTCATATAGGTAAATCAATATGTATATTTTCATAAACTACAAGAAAGTCGTGATTTCATATATTCTCACGGCATTAGATTTTGAAATACAAAGCAGCTATGCCCTTGACTAGTCCTGAAGTGTCTATGCTGGTCCCCAACTGAAGGAAAATACAGCATCATAATTTTGAACCAAGCAATGCCTCTTTGACTAGCTCAGCAGCATCTTTGCTGGTACCCCAACTCATTGAAATCCCATTAGCACCATGTCCATAATTATGAACAACCTAAAACAAAAATAATTTTTCAATGCCAAATTGTTGCTTTGAGGAAAAGCAAGATTTAGCCTGTCTCTGTTATTGTGCACCTCTGAGTTCGCCTGCATTTACTTAAGTTTAAAAAAATTATCAAATCTATAGCTAGTACAAATAACATTTTACAAATATATACCGCTGTTTTTAAATAAAATTATATTAATTAAAGAGAGAGGGAGGAGATAAAGAGATACTTGCCTTTAAAGGGCCTTTTTTGAGCTGTAGAACTTCTTTCTCGATACGAATGGGAAAACGTGTTGGTCGAAGTCCAACCCATTCGTGATCAATTACAGCTCCCTGAAGTTGAAATATCATTCAACAAAACCCATGACGGTTAAGACTAGATTTTATTCTTTCTTGATTAACTAAATTTCTTTTAGGCAATTATGCATGTTACCTTTAAAGCCGGAAATATCTTTAAGCATCTCTCTAGGATCCCTTCCCGGTCTTTACTTTCTATGTTTAGATTAAAATTGTTTTCCTGTCGACAACCTCCTACTACAAGCAAATCGCCACTAAAATATCAAAGCAATTTATTTAAATCCGTGAATTTATATATACATAAGCTTAGCTCAAGTCATTATTTATATATGAAAATAAGTTAAGATACTCAATTAAGTTGCTTTATTTTAAACATTTACTTGGGAATAAGATAGGCATCATCTTCTGTAAACACAAAATTCTTTATCCACGGTGCTTTAACCTACCATGTTTAAAAAAGAAACAGAAAAAGGTGTGTTATAAATATCCCTGCCTCCAGTTGCAATCATTTGAATCAGTGTTTTTAATCAACATTCATTTACATACGGAACAAATTAGTATTCATCTATAAAAATGATTTTTTATTTTCTAGCTTAGTTAAGATTTCAATTTACTGTTCAAAGAGCAAATTAAGTTTTTAGAACCTGAATAATTAAAGCCAATACGCTTCTTGTACAACAAATATTCTGTTATACTAGTAGTAATGTTCCTAATACTTTGAAATACAGATCAACAATGCTATAACGCATTAAACATGCATGGATAATTCCATATCTTATTACAGTATTTACCCTGAGTAAATGACCACGAACAGGAAACATTGAAGTGTCCCCAAATAGAGTGCGACTTCCGAACCCAGTACAGTTAACAACCACATCGTATACACCAACCAGCTGAAATGAAAAACTTCTTGTTAAATAAACCTTTGGGCGATTTGTAACTTCGTGATTTTATATGTGTCCTCTATATTTTTTGGAACAATTGCAGGCAGTGTAAAGGCAGTATGTAGACCTATACTGTAAACTGGAGTCAAGACAAATAAAGTTGTTTTTATAGTTTATACATGAAACATTGGGAGATCATTTTCATATAAACTTCTTTTTTTTCAGTCTAGTCTCTACAAGTCTATTATAGTATTATATTAAACAAATAGTCGTTTAAGCACTGGAAGTCAAAGCTGCTGTACATATGTCGTTTAAATGCAGAGAGTACCGCTATACTGGTATCATACCGCCCCGCCATCAGCAGATGGCATTTTCTACTTACTTCATTTAAATCGTCGATCCGCCTCTGTTCTGTTTGCCCTCCATTCTCTTTAAACCTAGTTATAATTCAATTCAATTCAAGATTGTTCTCAGATAACACACCGTGTCTTTTGTAATCAATCAATCATTAATGCCAAAACAAACCTTAATAGATATAAAAGTATGGAACAAGTTGGTAAGTTTTACCTCTCAAATAACCACGGTAGATACTCTCTAACTGTTGCAATAACTGTAGTCACCATATAAGCGTAACTGAAATAAGAAATTATTGTAAGGTTGTAATTATTTTCACTTCAACGAACAACTTAAGCAAATCATACAGAAATATTTTATTTTTCTCACTTGTAATGACCAAATCCCAGTTTTAGCTTTGACTCTCTGCTCAGTTCGTGAAAGGTGTAAACGACATCTTTGTATACTGGATTCTAGAAAAGGAGAACAGGTATGATTTTAAAAATTATTAAAATGTAAGTCTAATATAGTTAGCAAGTGTTACCCTGCCTATTCGTCAAAACTGTGTCACAAGTGGGTATTTTCGTTTTGTTTTGTTTTTTGGATAATTTTTAAAATATTCATAGAATCTTTGTATACCCCCATCCCCCATGCTTCAAACTTCCGCCAGAGTTCGTGTGCAGAGACGCAGAGGACTAGGGGTAGTATGCTCCATGCTCGTGTAGCGCACGTTTCGTTGAAATTATAGCGACGATTTTATAGCAAAAGTATGTGCTTATGTGTAATTGTATCTAACTCCTTTTTATTTGGCAAATTAAGTACGTAACAAATTGCTAACTGTACGTGCCTCCACCTTGACAAACCAGTAACAATCTGTAAGTGTATGTACTTTCACTTTTGTCTACGTATATAACCAGTGACAATCAGTACGTACCTCCACTTTTGACTATATAAGTATATATAACTAGTGACAAAAAAAACAGTACGTACCTCCACTTTTGTCTAAGTATATAACCAGTGACAATCAGTACATACCTCCACTTTTGACAATATAAGTATATATAAACAGTGACAATCTGTACATGCCTCCTCCACTTTTGTCTACGTATATAACCAGTGACAATCAGTACGTACCTCCACTTTTGACTATATAAGTATATATGATAATCTGTAATCAGAATCAGTGATAATCTGTACATGCCTTCCACTTTTGACTAAGTATATAACCAGTGACAATCAGTACGTACCTCCACTTTTGTCTAAGTATATAACCACTGACAATCAGTACATACCTTCCACTAAGTATATAACCAGTGACAATCTCTACGATCCTCCACTTTTGACTATATAAGTATATATAACTAGTGACAATCAGTAGATACCTTCCACTTTTGTCTAAGTATATAACCAGTGATAATCTCAACGAACCTCCACTTTTGACTATATAAGTATATATAACTAGTGACAATCAGTACATACTTTCCACTTTTGTCTAAGTATATAAAAAGTGACAATCTCTACGAACCTCCACTTTTGACTATATAAGTATATAACCGGGGACAAGCTGTACGTACCTCCACTTTTGACTATATAAGTATATAACTACTGACGATCAGAACATACTTTCCACTGAGTTTATAACCAGTGACAATCAGTACGTACCTCCACATACCTCCACTTTTATCTAAGTTTATAACTAGTCACAATCTGTACGTAGCTCCACTTTTGTCTGACTAAGTATATAACCGCTGACAATCTGTACGTAGCTCCACTTTTTTCGAAGTATATAACCACTGACAATCTGTACAGACCTCTACTTTTGTCTGATTAAGTATATAACCACTAACAATCTGTATGCGCCTCTACTTTTGTCTAAGTATGTAGCCACTGACAATCTGTACGTACCTCCACTTTTGCCTGAGTAAGTATGACAATCTGTACCTACCTCCACTTTTGCCTGCCTAAGTATGTAACCACTGACAATATTTGTACCTACCTCCACCTTTGCCTGACTAAGTCTGTTACCACTGACAATCTGTTCTTACATACACTTTTGCCTGACTAAGTATGTAACCACTGAAAATCTGTACGTACCTCCACTTTTGTCTGACTAAGTATGTAACCACTGACAATCTGCATACCCGCCTCCTTGGCTTTGTCGGACACAGCTAGGGAGGAATAAAATTCCCATCCTGTACGTGACCATTTTCTGCAAAAATCTAAACTTCTTACTACTATATATTTTTTTCATTGTAATTTGACATTTACTGAAAATGTGTTTATAGGTTGATTTATTGGTTACCTGGAGATTTTAGACAGATTCAAAGCATTTATTATTCTTAATGCCAAGACTTTATTTTTATGCCCCCCCCCCCCGTAATCGAAGTTTCGGGGGGCATATAGTTTTTGCCCTGTCCGTCCGTCTGTCAGTTTGTCTGTTAGTCTACAAAACTTTAACCTTGCCCATAACTTTTGATTGGTGGAGCTATGGCTCTCATATTTCACAAGTGTATTCCTTGTGATAAGACTATTCTTTGGATACCACCATATTAACGTTTTGACCTTGACCTTGGAGTTCGACCCAGTTTTGCAAAATTTTACCAACTTCAACCTTGGCCATAACTTTTAAACAGTTGGTGCAAGGGCTTGTATACCTCAAATGTGTAATCCTTGTGACAATGCCTTCCTTTGAATACCAACAATTTTGACCCTTTGACCTTGACCTAGGAGTTTGATCTACTTTTGAAAAACTTTAACCTTTCATAACTTTTGAACGGTTTGTGCTAGAGCTTTCATACTTCACAAATGTAATCCTTGTGACAAGACCTTCTTTTGAATAACAACAACTTTGACCTTGGAGTTTGATCTACTTTTGGATAACTTAAACTTTGGCCATAACTTTTGAACAGTTGGTGCAAGGGCTTTCATACCTCACTAGTGTTATCCCTGTGACAAGGCCTTCCATTGAATACCAACAATTTTGACCCTTTGATCTTGATCTAGGAGTTTGATCTACTTTTGAAAAACTTAAACCTTGGCCATAACTTTTGAACGGTTTGTGCTAGAGCTTTCATACTTCACAAATGTAATCCTTGTGACAAGACCTTCTTTTGAATAACAACAACTTTGACCTTTGACCTTGGAGTTTGACCTACTTTTGGAAAACTTAAACTTTGGCCATAACTTTTGAACAGTTGGTGCAAGGGCTTTCATACCTCACTAGTGTTATCCCTGTGACAAGGCCTTCCATTGAATACCAACAATTTTGACCCTTTGACCTTGATCTAGGAGTTTGATCTACTTTTGAAAAACTTTATCATTGGCCATAACTTTTGAACAGTTGGTTCTAGGACTTTCATACTTCACATATGTAATCCTTGTGACAAAACCTTCCTTTGGATACCAACAACTTTGACCCTTTGTCCTTGAAGTTTAACCTAGTTTTGGAAAGCTTAAACCTTGGCCATAAGTTATGAACAGTTGGTGCTAGGGCTTTCATACTATATATGTGTATTCCTTGTAACAAGACATTCCTTTGGGCATCAACCATTATAGCCCATTGACTTTGACCTTGGATTTTGACCTACTTTTGAAGAACTTTAACCTGGCTATAACTTATGAACGGTTGGTTCTAGGGCTTTCATATTTCACGTGTGTATTTCTTGTGAGAAGGCCTTTCCTTGGGCACCATTAATTTTGGCCATTTGATCTTGACCTTGATGTTTGACTTAATTTTGAAAAACTTAAACCTTTCCATATCTTCCCAATGGTTGTTGCTAGGGCTTTCATATTTCAAGGGTCATCGAGACAATACCTTACTTTGGGTACCAACATATTTGATTTGCAATTGAGAAAGTTTAACCTTTGCTATAAGTTGCCATACGGGGGCCTCAGTGTTTCACAAACACATCTTGTTCTCGTATGAACAAATATCGTAATTCTTGATCGATGTAGTACCTTCATAAAAACAGGCAGTCTAGATAGTTTAACAACGTAACCTTGAAATATACAGTCTACATATAGTAAATGAGGTTAAGATATTATCTATGTCATATATGAGTTATAGATTCTAAGTATATCAATTCAGAAAGATAGTTGGCAATAAGATAAAATATGCATGGACATGACACATTATCTGCTAACTGGACTTATGTAAAAAAAAAAACTTTATTGCAGGTCTATCTTTTTTATGATATAAAATGCATATAGTTCTTCATCAATACTTCATATTTTTTGTTGTGTCATTTTAAACATATTCAGTTTTCATGATTATGCTGAAATATTGCGTGTGCACCATTTTTCGAAAGAAGCTAATTTCGACCCACGAACATTATACTTGGGTAATTTTATACTATATATACTTGTGGGTAGGAGTTATTGGCGTCGGCCTTTTTCTCTAATTTTAATCCTGTATTTTTGTTTTATTTGGAGGCTCTGGAGCAAAAAAAATTCTTATTTTAATCTCACCGTATTGTCTCTTCGGGGACTCCTCGAATAAACTTGGCGGTGGGTCGGAACAATCCTCCAGCGCCCCAACTGGTAGTTTCCTGGCCGAATTTTTCCGAAATTATTTTTACCCTAGCTGATGGAAGTTGCTTCTGTATATTTAGGGCTGTCGACACGCCAATGATGCCTGCCCCCAACACGGCTATGTTGTACATCGTGCTGTGTGAGCTATTATAGATTGAAATAATTTAATGATCTGGATATGCTTCATGATAGTGAATAAAATCAATAATATATTCCCTTCGTTTAAATAAATCTACATATTTAAGGAATAAACTGGGGGCACAGATGAGGGAATTATTAAATTCGGGATTTCCTTCCCTTTTTTGTTATGGGGGATCATCGAACATCTCTTAATTTTATATCCTAGACTACTAAAAATTATAAACAAATTGCCATGAGCCTTGATTATGGCATGGCAAACATTGCATTATTCGATCGAAAAAAAATTTTCATTTGTATATTGATTTTTTTATGCTCCCGTATCGAAGATTCGGGGGTATATAGTTTTTGCCCTGTCCGTCCGTCTGTCTGTATGTCTGACTGTTTGTCCGCAAAAACTTTAACATTGTTTATAACTTTTGATTGGTTGCAGCTATGGCTTTCATATTTCACATGTGTACTCCTTGTGACAAGTCCTTTCTTTGGGTACCATCATATTTGACCTTTTGACCTTGATCTTGGAGTTTGACCCAGTTTTACAAAATTTTACCCAACTTTAACCTTGGTCATAACTTTTGAACGGTTGGTACTACGGCTTTCATACTTCACAAGTGTAATCCTTGTGACAAGACCTTCCTTTGGATACCAACAACTTTGACCCTTTGACCTTGGAGTTTGACCTACTTTTGAAAAATTTTAACATTGGCTATAACTTTTGAACAATTAATGCTAGGGCTTTCATACTTCACATATGTAATCCTTGTGACAAGGCCTTTTTTTTTGGATACCAACAACTTTAACCCTTTGACATGGACCTACGAGTTTGACCTACTTTTGAAAAACTTTAACATTGCCCATATCTTTTGAACGGTTGGTGCTAGGGCTTCCATTCTTCAAATATGTAATCCTTGTGACAAGACCTCCCTTAGGATACCAACAAATTTGACCTTTTGACCTTGACCTTGGAGTTTGACCTACTTTTGGAAAACTTTAACCTTGGCCATAACTTTTTAACAGTTGGTGCTAGGGCTTTCTTTTTTTCACATGTGTAATCCTTGTGACAAGCCCTTCCTTTAGATACCAACAAATATAGCCCATTGACCTTGACCTCGGAGTTTGACCTACTTTTGAAAAACTTTAACCTTAGCCATATTTTTATACAGTTGGTGCTAGGGCTTTCATATTTCACATGAGGTGTATTTCTTTCCTTGGGTGCCATTAATTTTGACCATTTGACCTTGACTTTGATGTTTGACTTACTTTTGAAAAACTTTAACCTTTTCCATATCTTTTCAATGGTTGCTGGCCAAGGCTTTCACATTTCACAGGTATATTCCTCGGTACAAGACCTTACTTTGGGTACCAGCATATTTGATTTGCATTTGAGAAAAATTAACCTTCGTGATAAGTTGCCATACGGGAGCATCAGTGTTTCAGAAACACATCTTTTTTTTGTATTCTATAATTTTTCATTTGTATTCTATGTAAATCATATACGGTAACAATTTTGATGCACCAGGTGCGCATTTCGACAAATCCTGTCTCTTCAGTGATGCTCATGCCGAAACGTTGGGAATCCGAAATATTCAAATAAAAACTTTTAAGACCTGAAAAAGGGGGGTGCCAAAGACGTCGAAGAATCGGAGCTATGCATGAGGGAGATAATCTGATAACAAAACCAGATAATAATTAGAAATAATTAGAGGATATTTCCTGAGATTGAAAAAAAAAAATAGAAAAATAACAAATTCATAGTAAGCAAACGCAAGGAATTGAAGATGTTATAAATTAGGTTATTCATAGGTTTAAACATGTCTCAAAAATAACATTTCTCAGACAGTTTTTCATTCAGTGTTTTCGACACAAGACTGTTAATAAGCGAATTTATATCCATTTCTGATGAAGAATCTGTGAATATCTTCATATAACTAGGTTTGCTTTCCTCCACTGGCTTATGTTTCCAAAACCTGGATTTTCATCCTATCATCCAGCTGAAATTTCAAATAAAACCCCGCATTTTCACTTTCCTCGACAGTATAACGTCATCCTGCACTGTGTCTGTATCAATATGAGACACATTATTCAAAAATGTTCCAAGTCAAAAAGATTTCTTCACCGTCTGACCACACTTCATAATTCTTGCTAATATATACAACTGTCATTGGATGAAATAAAATGAAACAGAAAAATTCACCCCCTCCCCGTATTGATTATATAAAAAAAAAATTATGAAGTTCATATGCAATATCTTTGTGTATTTTTTTACTGTCTAAAGAAAAAAAAAACTTTCTATATCCTTTTATCTACTTAATAGATGGTTTCAGGTAGAAAACTTTTGTTTGAATTCCAGGACCTACTGTTTTAATTGGACTTCTCCAGGTATCTTTCTGAAAATTATATTTCAATGTTTACTTTACAATTCTACATTATCAGACTGTTTGAGATCTGTTAGTTTTACATACTCGTATATTCCGTATATGCATGTCCATTACCTATCAGAGTATTGTTTCGAAAACAGTTCTATAATTTTACATATAAAATTGTATGAAGTATATATACTTAAAACATTGCCATTTACTACTAAGTGTCCAAAGGTTACCTGGAGGAGTCTGATAAGAATTCATGCATCAATGGCTTAATTTCTACCTGAAGGATTTTTTTTTTCATCTTTTGCCAGTAAAAATGAATTCCTCTATTTATTAATTTTTCATTTCATTCGTTTATCTAAGCAGGGTCAAAATCAGTTTGTGAAGGAAGCTATCGTAGATGCAGCATGTGCGATAATATTCGATGATATTAGGGATGGCAATCGAATACATAATTGCCAATTGGTTAACCGCAAGACGTTCCGACCGATTAATCGGTTAATCGTATCTGAAATTCTCGACATATTTCATCCTTGTAAGCTCTAGATTCAAATAAACAAAGCTCTAAAGATGTTACATGTAGAAATATTCTATTTATTATATTTGATCAGTACATTATTTATATTTTATTTCAATTTTAATAGGAAAAACATAAAATACGTCATAGGTGGCTTTAAAATACTCATGAAACATGCTTGAAGTCTCAGATTTATTAAAATAAGAAGAGATGTCTTGTAAGCTCATTCTGCATTGTCTTAATACTCAAAATTAACTATTAAGTCTGAACTAATTTACAATGTTTGTTTTATAATATAATTATATTGGTAATTTCATAGGAAAGAAGAGGTAAAAAAACATTTAAATCAGTTCACGATACTCAACGATCATTTAATTAAAATCATTAAAGAAACATAGGACAGACTGGGTAATGACATGTGTTTATACAGCAATTAACATCTCGAAAACTGACCAATTATCCCTGCAATGTCAATCCGGAGAGGCTTAATTATTAATTATCTCCCAATCAGCTTAAATAGACAGGTGAAAAAACAAAGTCTCAGATATTTTTTTTATTGAATTTTTTGGAAACTGTGTTCAAATTGACACAAATTTTATTTCTTTCCGACTAACCGATTACAGATTTCCTAACCGATTACCATCGTTCCGACCGAGTAACCGGTTAACCGATTAGAAATTGCCATCCCTAGATGATATCATCACCATGGAAAGTGAAAGCGGGGTTTAATTTGAAATTCCAGTTGGATTGTATTTATAAAACTCCAGGTTTCTGAGAATTCAGTCAGCAGAAAAGAACAAATCTAGTTATCAGAAGAGATTCGAAGATTCTTTATCAGAAATAGATATAAATTCGCTTATTTATACAATATACTAGTGCTGTGCCGAAAACACCGAGCGAAAAACTCTGTGGAAAATGTTACTGTTGAGGCGGCTAAAAAAATTGTAAAAATTCCTTCTGCATGGATTTCTTTTTTGTTTTATAGCAATATTAACTTCATTTTCTCAAATTGCATTTTCTATTTGTTATTTTTTCTATTTTGCTTCATATTTGGAAAAATCAAACATTATTTTGTTTTTAATTACTGTCTGATTTCGTTATCACTACAGTCTAATAAGTAATAATATATAATTGAACTGGCAACTGTTATTATTGGACTTTTACAGGAAAACTTTTGACTGCACGTATATATGGCTTCACTGCAACTTTTAACCCTGATTAAATGTACTTTGAGATAACCCCTTTTTGTTATCACAATTTCATGTCGACATACTTGTATGTTATTTAAAGACCAAGGCAATACAGAAGCAACGGAAATATTTCGATTGATTCACTGCAGTGAAGGAAATATTACAATACTCATGTTGATGCTATATCGACGATACAATATTATGCTGTTAAATAATTAACACCTGATGATTACACATTACTACGTACCGGCGTTAAGATATTGCTTATATTGATAGGTTATTAATTAAATATCCCTATCCAAGGATAACGTCGACAAAAATGTCTCTTTCAGAATAAGGTCCATATTTATTGCATATTCAAACATAATAATGTAATAAATTAACAGAAGAATGATATTTTATTGTTTGAAGTCGCTGTACTTACCATATAAGATAAAGGAATATTCCACACCAGAAGTTAAACAGCTGATTCCTTTTTTCGAAAAAAAAAAGTGAAGGGGTTGTTTAAAAACACAAAAAATCGGTGATATAGGACGTACAGACATCGTCGGATAACCAACGGGTGATCTCGTCTTTTCACCCATGGGTATCCGACGATGTAGGAGGGATAACATTTAAAGGCACAAAATTTTGAAGTAATATGCAATTATACTTTCACTATAAAAATTGGACTAATTCTGTTACATACCGGTACAAATACAGATACAAATATTTTATTGGCACAAACACAATTACAGTAATCGGTAAAGGCCCATACAGAACATATTAATAAGCATAATAATACAGTAGAACACAACTAGAATATGTATTTATCACAGGCACTTGGGGTATGGACCCCCCCCCCCCCCATTTCCATTTTTTTTCTTTTTAAATCTGGGATCAAGTTACCTTTTCCCTATTTTTGTATTCTAATAATGCACTATATGTTATCGATAATGTATCCCTTTTGTCTCTATAAGCTGTTTTTAAATATTTCGACAGAAGGGTTACATATTAGAATACAAAAATAGGAAAAGGGTGACTTGATCCCAGATTTAAAAAGAAAAAATGGAAAGGGGGGGGGGTCCCTACCCCTAAGTTTTTTTTTTTTGGTTTTTTTTTTTATTTATTTATTTTCATAACAAATACACAAATACACAAAAACTTTCGCACACCCTTTCATACATGTTGGAAACGAAGAACTTAAGTATATACATATACACATACATATACATATGTATACACATACAATAGTTATTCAAGAGTAATATCAAGAATTAGACACATGAAATAGACATTTCCAATTGGACCATCTATTTTTGTAAAATGTATTTTCTGATAATTTCTCTTCTAAAGTATAGTAATTATATAAAAATCTCAAAATATCATTGAAAACAATACATGGTTTTTTTCTGGATTGTTGAAATAAGTATTTCTTCACTAACAGAATTATCAAGTTTATAGCTATGTGATTCTTTTCAAAAATACCAAAAATAACAGTTTTCACATCAAACTTAATTCTTTTACCAGACTTTTGAAAAATCCAATCTGACAATGCTAACCAAATCATAGAAACCTGTGGACAGTAAAAAAATAAATGTTTAATCGTTTCTGGTTCTAATTCACATAATGAACAAAGTGGAGAATTTTTAATTTTAGACATGTGTAAGTATTTATTAGTACCTAAAATTCTATGAATAATTCTATAATTGAACCATATCAGTCCTGAATCTTTAGTTAAGTATTTAAAGTTTGTATAAATATGTTTCCAATTCAAATCTGATTCTAACTTTAGATCAATAGCCCATTTGTTTTCACAGATAGGTCTGTGCTGTATTTTTGACATTAAATGATCATAAAATAATTCTGGATCCTTTTTTATTCTGACAAAGAATTTTTAAAAATTCAGGTTGGTATGGTTTAATACAAATATTTTTTGACAATTGTTTAACATTTGGCCATGAATACAGAATTGCCTGCTTCAGTCCCTCATATGTTATAAATGGCATCTTAACTAAATAATCATTTGTGATACTTTCATAACTAATAAAATTGCCTTCTGTATCAAATAAGTCATGTACTATGTGGAACCCTTTCTCATACATTGTCTTATAAAATACATGTTTATTTTGAATCTTTATTTTATTATTATACCACAAGGGTTCACACAATATATCTAAATCATTAAAATCAAAACTTTCTAAAAATTCAGCAAAATAAAGCAAGGTTTCTTTCCAGAAAATATTTTGTATGATTTTTGCCCTTTGTTTACAATATTCAGATCCAACCTGACATAGCTTATTAATATTACAACCAGTAATTTCAGAAAAAATATTTATCCAGTTTGAATTATTTGTAAATATTCTTCTAATCCATGTTAATTTTAGGGATTTAATAAATGTTTCTATATTAGTCATCCTGCATCCACCACTTTCAGAATCCAACTGTAATGTTTTTCGAGATATTTTATCAATTTTATTTCCCCATATGAATTTATACAGAGCTTTTTCAAGTTGTTGTATCCACTGCACACTTGGTTTCGGAAGAGATATAAATAAATGTGTAAATTTTGATAAAAACAAACTTTTTACTACTGTTATTTTTCCTAAAGGTGAAATATTTCTTTTAGACCAATGATTTATTTCTTTCTGAATAAGTTTAAACTTATGGTCAAAATTAAGCTCTTCCATTTTTTTAAGATTTGTAGTATATGTTATGCCTAAAATAGTAAATGGTTCAGTTGTCCATTTTAATCCTGTATCACTATATAAAGTATTTTCTGTATTAATTTTAGAGCCAATCCAGATTGCTTTTGTTTTTGAAATATTAGGTTTTAATCCTGAGAATTTTGAAAATTGAAAAAGAAGATCAAGTGCACTTTTTAAACTCTTTTCTGATCCATCCAAAAAAAGAACTGTGTCATCTGCATATTGTAATAAACAGACTTTTTCCTTCCCTATTTTAATGCCTTTGATATTTTTATTTTGTCGTATCATATGTCCTAAAATTTCTACACAAAGATTAAATAAGCAAGGAGATACCGGGTCACCCTGACGACATCCCCTGCCAATTTCAAAAAAATTTGAAAAGATACCATTTTGAATAACACATAATTTAGCTTTATTATATAGTACTGAAACCCATTTAATAAGGTCAGGGCCAAAATTGAAAAATTGCAAAGTATTGTACATAAATTTCCATGATATGGAGTCAAATGCTTTTTCGAAATCTATAAGTAATATCATACCAGGAATATGGTTTTCATATGTGGCATTAATTACATCATATATCATTCGTGTATTTTCTCCAATAAATCTATCTCTAAGAAAACCCTTTTGATTATCATGAATTAAATAGTCAAGAACGTTTTTAATCCTATTTGCTATACATGATGAAGCAATTTTATATGTTGTATTAAGAAGAGATATTGGACGCCAGTTCTCGAGAAACTCTCTTGGCTTATCACCTTTCGGTAATATAGAAATAATACCTTGCTTCTGAGTTACAGATAATTCTCCCACATTAAATCCAAAATTTATTGATCTGATTAGAAAGCTTCCAAGATCCCTACCCCTAAGTGCCTGTGGTATTTATGGCTCTAGATGTGACATGATAGGCTATGCATCACACAAGTCACTTCATTTTAATAAATAAAAATTTCTCGCAAAGACTATATAAACTGTAGAAAAGAACAAGAGGCCCATGGGCCACAACTCTCACCTGAGTCAATATGGTCGTGCTTTTCTTCATCACGGATTTCTTCTCCTATATATTCATATGTCAGTAAAGCTTTGATCGCCTGTTCTAGGCATACGCCTGTTCTTAATTAAGGCATACCCTACACCCAGGTGCCATGTTTTGAATGAAACTGAATCTAAACAGGTTGTTCATGATTTTAACAAACTCGAATGTACACTACCTGAGGATGCTTCCATATCAATATGACTACTTGTGGCTTTGTTGTTCTTGAGAAGAAGATTTTTAAAGATTTTTTTTCTATATATTCCTATGTTAAACTTTGATCCCCCATTGTGGCCCCACCCAACCCCAGGGGGTCATGATTTGTATAAACTTGAATCTACACTACCTGAGGATGATTCCATATCAATATGACTAATTGTGGCTTTGTTGTTCTTGAAAAGAAGATTTTTAAAGATTTTTCCTATATATTCCTACGTAAAAATTTGATCCCCCATTGTAGCCCCACCCTACCCCTGGGGGTCATAATTTGAACAAACTTGAATCTACACTATGAAATGAAGGTTTCACATAAGTTTCAACTATTCTGGCCAGATGGTTCTTGAGAAGAAGATGACACCAATTTTTCGCCAATTCTTAATTATCTCCCCTTGGAAGAGGGTGTGGCCCTTCATTTGGACAAACTTGAACCCCCTTCACCCAAGGATGTTTTGTGGCAAGTTTGGTTGAAATTGACCCAGTGATTCTGGAGAAGAAGTCGAAAATGTGAAAAGTTTACAGACAGACGCGGACAGACAGACAGAGGGACTACAGACAAAATGTGATCAGAAAAGCTCACTTGACCTTTCAGCTCAGGTGAGCTAAAAAGGGGGGCATCAGACATTTTTTGTAGGGGCACAAATGCATATTACCTTTGTTTACTTATATACTGACAAAATGTTATTGGAGGCACGTACAGTCCCCCCTTCATAAGTGCATAAGTATTTGCTATATATATTTTCTTATTTTGCGGAAAAAAATGACCTTTTAAATTGCCTTTTTGAAGTAAAAGATTCGTTTTGTGTAGAGTGATTCACAATAGGAAACTCTCTTGTTTTAAAAGAAAGGTACTCAGAGCTATAAGTTCATACATGCAATATAGTTGTTCATGTAAAGAATGATAAAATTTTGTTCTCTGTCCAAACATAAATGGATGTTGTGCCTACAGGCGAGTTTGAAATCACATCCTCGATTTCGTTTGATGTGCAAGTAAAAAAAAATCAGTTTTATATACATTTCAAAAGTAAGTCTATTTAATTGCCTCTCTCTCTCTCTCTCTCTCTCTCTCTCTCTCTCTCTCTGTGTGTGTGTGTGTGTGTGTGTGAGGGTGTGTGGGTGTGTGTGAACCGTCCACAGTGAAGCACATCCAGGATCTTTTTAAGATGTGGTAGCAAAAATTAATTATTTGGGTCATATATACATGTACCTCTCAAAGGTAGGTTCTGAGTGTAGTTCTGTAAGGTGAGAAAACACATTCTCTAAATTCTTCATAATTTTTTCAGCTTAACGTATTATTATTATTATACATTAAGATATAAATAGTTTGTTGATTTGCTAAATAAATTTGTGATTTATATGAACATAACATTGCATTTGAGTTGAGCCACAGAGACAATTAAATCAGTGGACGGTACACAACTGGGGGTTCTGGTATAGCACTATGTGATAGAATATGTACACTTTGTAATAATGCTAGCTCTCAAAACTGCTGATCTTAGAATGTAAAACTTTAGCTAATGTAAGAAAAAAATACTTGGGCAATTATTATTCCCATAGACCGAATGTTGTTAAATTCATGGAACTAATGTCAACTCAAAACGAAAGAATGCTGAAAAACCAGTGTATGTTTATCATAAAAATTAATGATGCTGTCTGTCCGCCTTGATATATTTTCCCCCTTTTATTTATTTTTTTTTTTCAACCTTCTTTCATGTTTTTTTTCTTTTTTTTTCTTTTTTTTTGTATATGTACCTCTGACCAGTTTTGTATATAATGTATATATGTTATTAACGTACCCCATGTACCAATATTTTGGTTTGGGTGAATAAACTGAACTTGAACTTGGTCTAGATGTCAGTCATAAATAAAATAGGAAACGTGTGTTTACAAGTGTTATTTAGACGTAATTAAATTAATGGCAGCACCACACATTTTTTTATAATCAGTCAAAGATACAATCAATGAAAGAATGCAGTGATAAATGAAACATTTAGAGCTCTGCCTAAAGTTTGAAATCAAATGTGAAAAATATCAGAACCATAAAACATTTACTAACAAGGGTGGATCTAAAAGGGGTGGAGTGGACCCCCCTCGCCACCCGGAATTTTCAGAGTTATTAAAATTCAATGTAAAAGTAACGAAAAGATAGCCTTTGAAATGTGAAAAATATCATAAACATTAAAACATTTACTAGCATGGGCGGATCTAAAGGGGGTCGGGGGACTCCCCCCACCCGGAATTTTCACGCTCTAGAAAAGTGTCTTCCCCCCCCCCTCCCCCCTTCACGAGCTAAGATTTTCAGCAGAAATAGGGAAATGGTTTTTTGGTTGTTTTTTTTTTTAATTTCCGTTGTCAAAAAATAAAATTAGATTCCTTACGCTCCGATTTTTTTGTTTGTTTGTTTGTTTGTTGTTGTTTTTGGGAGTTTATTTAAATTTATCAAATCAACTCTCCTATATGCACTTCCCCCATGTCAAACAGTGTCTCTACCACTACTTTACACGGTTATCATCAATAGAAAATATCAGTCGCCGCTAACAAGAAATTATTATAGTTCCTAAAGACAATTGAAAAGATTGATATACTACACATCCTCGCAAGCTAGGGGTCCTGAGTCAACACGTTGCCGTTGGTCCAACGAGGATGTATACTACGCTGTAAATTAAAAATATGGTTTTTCTTGATTTTTTTACCGTTGACAATACGTACATTGGAACTGTTTTGAACAATTGAAATGCTATCACCATTCATTGTTATAGTATTTGCAGTTGTAAAACACTTGGTTTTCCTACGCTGTGGCCGCTTAAAAACGATTGCAAGTGCAGTGAAAACCTGGAATCAAAGGCATAGAATCAGTGCCCACAGAGGTTATGCATAAAAAGTGTTGGTCAAAATTATCAGAAAAAAAAGATTCTCTCCACGTAACTGAGTACCTAGATAATTCTGAAAAACCGTTAATAAGCACAGGCACCTGACGAATGGATGGTGTACCCCCTCCCTCCCCTCCCCCCCCCCAGCTTCTGAGAAATTTTATTAGACACAAAAACTTATCAAAAATACATGAATTACTACTCTATCATTTCCTATATTTCGATATCTGATATCATTTTCCGCTTTTGTTAAGTTTTAGAGATTGTTCAATATATATGGCATTCAAGAAAAGGTACTCTGTTGCCCGAGTCAGATTTTTTTTTTTTTTTTACAAAATGGGCATCACTTTGGTGAGTTCTGAGATTTATTCAAGAATTTTTTTTTTTCAAATAATAATTTAATAACAGAAAAGAAATAATTCTGCATTTTGATTTGGATAAACAAAAAAGTTTCATTTTTTTCTTATTAATTATAGTCGGGCTCGGTTACGTGCAATCCGGAAGTTCGAGTGTTTGTTTACAAAGTTTCAACAAAGTCGTGACGAGCCAAACCCATTTTCTATGTTTAGAGATATATATTGTTTAACTTCAAAAGAAGACTTGCATCACACAGGATTTTTTGTTGTTGCTGTTGGTCGCATGAATTATGCTATTCTTAGTAAAACCAATTCCAGATGACGTTAAATAACTGTCAGGTCTAAAAATATAATAGCTCGATAAGCTATTTCAATATAGGCTAGTTAATGTTCCTAATAGTTGTAACTGTAGGTGTTTAATAGTACAACGATGAAATAAATACGGTAAGTATTAAGTTAGAATTTTAAGCTGATGTAAATATTACTTTGAATAATATAACTAGTTATTAAGCTTTGTTGTGTTGACTCGGTACATACAGCCTGATAGCAGGGACCAGTCTCAACCCAAATTGGATACAAAAGCCTTCTTTTGGATTATAATATTCCAAATGCGGTATAAATTTACAGTTCATTTTTATAAAACTAAACTGCATAAATTTACAATAAATACAGCAACTCTTAGCATTTTTTTTCTAGGACCCAGGGACCAACCTAATCCGAGATACCTCTGACTCTAACCCCTGCTTTTATATTTTGACATCTCCCCTGCACATGTCAAAATATAAAAGCAGGGGTTAGAGTCAGAGGAATCTCGGATTAGGACCAACCTAGACCCAAAATTTAGGGAGACTTCACTTCTCCCTGAGAGAAATGTAGGGAGAAGTTTTGAATTCTAGGGAGACTTCTTGGCATGCGTGGCGCACATTGATCATTATTAAACTTTCTGAAAATAAAACATTTCATTGTTTATTAACTTAAATATATTTCAATCATTTTTTTCTGTATTATTTAAACATCCTAGTAAAAATAATTGAAAAAGAGAAAAAAATTCTTTAAAATAAAAAACTTTATATTTTTCCAATTACAAGGTATATAAATATCTAGCAAAATATATAAAACAATGACAATGTAAAAGTTTCTAATTGATAAACTTGTTTTTCAAACTTTTTTTTTCATTTCTTGCATAGTATGCACAATTAACTTTTAAATGATTCACACATTTTTCTCTCCTCTCAGGGTTAGATTTTCAGGCTCTTGGCATGGTCATAATTTTGTTATTTTCCCTTCAAAATTCGTTTTCAATATTAAATTCTTCTTCTAAAAAAAAAAGTTTTGATGCACTACTGCATGCCGATTGAACTACTTATGTTTATCAGACATGTGTAATTTCTTAGACAGTTAATAACTCAACAATTTAACAGTGAAAATATGTCTGTATTCACAGCATGTATTAATTATTTGACAATAAAAAGATCTAAAATCATCTCCAACATCTTTGGCATGACATCGATAGCTTCCCAACTGTTTTGCGTCTTGTTGTGTATAACATGTAATTGTGGACTTTTTCATACACGGAAGCGTAAAATCTAGAGGAGTTCCGACAGAGTATTCAATGCAATGGTCATTAGTAGGTCCTAGTGCAAAACAGGTGCAAGTGCCCTGCTGTTTCACTTTTTTCAGCAGTAATAAAACCAGATTTATGAAATAGTGATGATACTACCACTTTTCTTAATAGATTTTTTTTTACGACTTTCAATAAAGGGGTTGCAAATGTTAAGGCGACTTAAACTTCTCTTTCGTGATAAATTACTGCGAAGTTTGGAGCTCAAAAGCGACTATTTCACCTCAGTCGCCCCTTAGGTTGGTCCTTGCATGACTGGACCACATACACAGTTTATGAGATTGATCCAAAGAAAGTTTGGATCTCCTATACAGAAAACTTCTTTAATTCCCAAAGTTGTTGCCTTATATGTATTTTCATATCTTATAATATTGTTCTTAAATTTAGAAAGAATAAAAGCTGTTTGCTGGGTCCCTTCCCTTTATATTAACATTATCTGCATGCAGTTCAAAGCAATGATACCTGTACTTGAATGATGAATATAAATAAATCATTTTTGTTTTATTTTCAGCAGCAGGCTGCATTCATCACCCTGTACATATAGGCTACATATAACTATCCATCATCAAGCAGCAATAGAGTAAAAAATGAAATTCAAAACTGTTCTTGAAGGACAACAGGCAGTCGTGTTTAACTATCTTGGAGAAGGACGACTAATTAAGGGTCCACAAAGGGTATATTTATTTCTATCTCTTACAATAAACCATGAATTTGAACACATTATTTTCTACAAAAAATATAATATTAAAATTCATTTCCAATATCAGGATGAAAAAGAAGATGGGTACATATTTACATATTAAGTGATCATTTCATATTTCCAGGTGTTTCTGTACAGAGAGAGACTACAGTACTTAAAAAAACACACAGCAGACCCTTACCAGTATATTGTTGTGAAGGACAAGGATGGATTGGTTCAACATACACCTGGGTATGGTGATATGATTTAAAATACAGTGATAGATATAAAGTATTTTATACATGTATATTGTGAGGATTAAATGTTTAACCCATCCAATGGATAGCTTAATTTACATGAACATAACATGAAAAACTACACTGTAAGAAACTTTACAAGAGCTTGATTTATTAAAAATGATTTATTGAAAATCTTGATCATATTGTGTGACATTAACTACTGGACATGTTATGTATCAATTCTATCAGTCAATTTTTTCAGCCTTGCAAAATCAAGATGGAAATGCCCTTATATGTGGATCTATGCAGCTAAAACATGTTAACTTTATTAAATTATTAAGATATATGATTTGAAGGTATGTAAATTAGTATAAATTAGACACTATACTGCACTGATTACTGCTTTGCCTTTTTTTTTTCAGACCCTGCTTTCTCTTTAACAATCCTCTTCTTTATGAATCTGTGACAGTGAAAGAGAGCACAAAGATTGATGCCAATCACCTGATTGTTGTGTACAAACGTTTGAAGGACTCTGATGTGCAGAGAAGAATCGTTCAAGGTCCCACTGTGTTTGTCCCAGAGGCTGAAGAGTGGTAAGAAATATACAGATTGGTAAATATTCTTCATAATCATTACTAATTCCTGACCAGAGAAAATGGTTTGTACATACAGATAAAGAGAGTTGCAGTTGCAGAGGTCAAACGGGTTTGATCACCGTTGGCCAGATATCTCAATTGGTAGAGCACCTGACTGGAGATTCAGGGCACCTGAGTTCAAATCCTTGTCTTGTTCTTCGCATTTTTCTCCTCTCCTGTTTTATTTGGTGCTGTGCAATGCCCTGGAAGTGACAGGTGTAAGACCAGCCAGGGAAGAGACTGGGTTGGTGTCTTCGAGGGCAAAGACCTTTAAGGAGGGAGAAATTTGGCGTCAGATCTTGATCTCTGGTGGCCAGATAACTCAGGTGTTACACAAGTAATTTAATAATTTTAATTTTTGGTATGCTTCAGGATACATACATTTACTTGGCATGGTACAGATCCACAAAACAAGGCCAGAATGATCCCTGGACATAATACATTCCAGAAGCTAGCTGTGATTCCAGACCAGTTTTACTACAATGTAAGACGGTCTTTATATCAAACTCTATTGTCTCCAGGGACAAATAAAGAAAGAAAATTTAAAACAGTTAAATCTCCATTTTCAAATCTGTGTGTATTGAAAAAAAAAGATCATATCTACACTGCAATGCATCAGTGTGTAATTCGTGTGCACACATGCTTTTTTTCATTTAGATGCCATTTTTTTATCCTAGATTCTGTTTTTACATTGAAGGTCAGAGATGTTCGAACACAGGATGACACTATGATTACAGTGAAATTAATGCTGTTTTATGAATTGAAAGATGTGACAAAAATGGTGAGTTTCGCCCCTTAAGTTCAAGCTATTAAACTGAAAGAAAAAAAAAGATATATCTCATTTTGGGGAAATAAATACTGTATGTGTAATTTAAAAAGCGGGCTTCATATTTTAGCGGCTTTGGCACAGACAACAATGTGCTTATTCATGAATACCGCTAAGAAATCATTTATAAATACAATATACGGCACGGATATGTAAAGCGCTAACTCATGATTTTGCCAACAACTCCATACCCAGTGATTGTGCTAAATTTTGAATGCGCCAGTTTATGTACATATACAGTAAATACTCTGCCTTTGGCTTCAAACTCTATTTTCCAGAAATGTTTGTAGACTTTGACATTTAGTCCTAAACAATGTTATCTTACTAGTAAAGAAAATAATTGAATTTTTTAATTATTATTGAACATTGTTTATACAGACCTCTAAGGACACCATTAAAATACATGTACAATGTACTTGAAAATTCTTTCACTTCATGGTCTATGCTGAAGTTATAGAAAATAAGATATATGTCTAATATATTTTTATGTTTTAGCCTGATTAAAACATTGCTTTCATTTAAATTGACTTTTTTTTCAGGATTTTCAATTGTAATAAATGAAGTGTTGCTTCTTTGCAGCCATTAAAGCTTACAGAACATATTTGAAACAAAGACACTGAAATGTTAATTTCTTTTTTCTCTGCTCTTATTATATTAGCTGAACACAACAACAGATCCAATCGCAGACATGATGAAGTAAGTATTTTGAAGTTTTTATCACACTATGAGTATTAATTTAGTGTAATATGATTTGATAGCAATTTGAACGCTCTGATAAGTATGAATAGTTTGATCTCTTACATTGCAGTGCTGTTTGTGCAGATGTCATTGCATTTGCTGGAAAAGTTTCGTAAGTTGAAAATTTTTTACTGTGTTCCTTTTTAATCAGAAGAAAAACCAGTTAAATGATATTCTGCTCTTTGAGTTGCAATTGCAGAAAAATTCATATTGAAGTCTTCTTGATGATTGAGATGAAGAATAACTGAAAATACGATTTTTAGCTCACTTGAGCTGAAAGCTCAAGTGAGCTTTTCTGATCACATTTTGTCTGTCTGTCCGTCCGTCTGTAAACTTTTCACATTTTCGGCTTCTTCTCCAGAACCACTTGGCCAATTTCAACCAGACTTGCCACAAAGCATCATTGGGTGAAGCGGGTTCAAGTTGGTTTAAATGAAGGGCCACGCCCTCTTTCAAGAGGAGATAATTAAGAATTAGTGAAAAATTAATAGCATCTTTTAAAAATCTTCTTCTCAAGAACCACAGGGTCAGGAAGATGAAACTCATGTGAAAACATCCTCAGATAGTGTAGATTCAACTTTGTTCAAATCATGACCCCCGGGGGTAGGGTGGGGCCACAGTGGAGGATCAAAATTATACATAGAAACATATAGGAAAAATCTTTAAAAATCTTCTTCTCAAGAACAGCAAAGCCCTGATAAGTCATAATTATATGGAAGCATCCTCAGATAATGTACATTCAAGTTTGTTTAAATCATGACCCCCAGGGGTAGGGTGGGGCCACAATGGAGGATCAAAGTTTTACATAGAAATATATAGGAAAAAATCTTTAAAAATCTTCTTCTCAAGAACAGTAAAGCCCTGATGAGTCATATTTATAGGAAGCATCCTCAGGTAGTGTAGATTCAAGTTTGTTCAAATCATGACCCCCGGTTTTAGGATGGGGCCACAATGGAGGATCAAAGTTTTACATAGAAATATATAGGAAAAATCTTTAAAAATCTTCTTCTCAAGAACAGCAAAGCCCTGATTGGTCATATTTATATGGAAGCATCCTCAGGCAGTGAAGATTCAAGTTTGTTCCAATCATGACCCCTGGAGGCAGGGTGGGGCCACAATGGAGGATCAAAGTTTTACATAGATATATATAGGAAAAATCATTTAAAAATCTTCTTCTCAAGAACAGCAAAGCCCTGATTGGTCATATCTTCTTCTCAAGAACAGCAAAGCCCTGATAGGTCATATTTATATGGAAGCATCCTCAGGTAGTGTAGATTCAAGTTTGTTCAAATCATGACCCCAGGGGGTAGGGTGGGGCCACAATGGAGGATGAAAGTCTTAAACAGAAATATATCTTAGGAAAATATCTTCTGAAAAAGAACTGGAAAGCCATGATTAGTCATTTTGAAGTGAAAGCATCCTCAGGTAGTGTAGATTCAAGATTGTTAAAATCATGACCCCCGGGGATAGGGTTGGACCACAATGGGGGATGGAAAATTTTACATAGGAACATATAGGAAAATATCTTCTTCTCAAGAATAGAAAATCATGTTTAGTCATTTTGATATGGAAGCATCCTCAGGTAGTGGAGATTCAATTTTGTTCAAATGATTACTCCTGGGTATGGGGTGGGGCCACAGTGGGGGATCGTAAATTTTATATAAGAACATATAGAAAAAAAATTTCTTCTCAAGAACAGAAAAGCTATGTTTAGTCATATTGATATGGAAGCATCCTCAGGTAGTGGAGATTCAGGTTTGTTCAAATGATGACTCCTGGAATAGGGAGGAGCCACAATGGGGGATCAAATTTTTATAAAGGGATATATGGGATTTTTTTTTTTAGAAATCTTCTCATGTACAACAAAGCCATTTGTTATATTGACATGGAAGCATCATCATGTAGTTTAAAATTCACCCCCCCCCCCCCCCCTAATCTTTTCAATACTGAACTGATTTGTTTTTTTCCTAGCCATTGTGCTAAGGTGAGCGATGTGGCCCATGGGCCTCTTGTTTAATGAAAATATATTTTATATAATTTTCATACTGAAAAAATATGTGCCACACAATCACACTAAAAGTTAAAAAACCACAGGTTTGAAGAGTTTCTGAGCAAGACCCAGAACCTAAGTGACCTTTCGACCTATCCACAGCTTGTTCAACGGGCTGAAAAGATTGGCTATGTCATTCAGAAAGTTGTGTATAGGGGATACCATGCCAGTGATAACCTGCAGGTAATGCATATTTTACAGCCATGTGACATTTTCATTGTGTTACCCATTGTTGAGTATGTTGCTAATGATGAGGCTAACATTACAAATTGTTAAATGCTTCTTAACCAATCAGATTTTAGTATTTAACATGAAAGTTTAATAATGACGTCTAAATCAAGTGCATTTACAGTATATAAAGTGTATGCATATTTTGTAAGTGATAATTCTATAATTATATGCTGTATATGTATGTTCTTTGGGATTAAATGTGTTGTTAGAGGATAGCAAGTAGAGTATTTGTGGAATGTAAAAAAAAATCTTTTTATAGTCTGGGACATTTTATCTTTCAGTACTACATATAGTATGATATGAGGCAGATTTAAATGTGATTTTTAAAAGTAAAAGATCACAATATCATTGAAGGGGTTCTATTAAAATTTGTTTTTATAGATGATGCAAAATTCTGCCATTGAATCAAGAACACAACTTCGACTGGAATCAGAAATTGAGGAACAGAAATCCAAGCTAGAAAATTTTAAACTCTCTAAAGAACAAGAGAGAACTAAATTAGGTAAGGTGAACAATATGGCTGCCAGTCATGTCAGAGTTATCATATGTTTTTTCCAATTTTATGATGAACCATAAATTTACTAACTACAGTTGTACATATATTATGTACTTACTTTATTGAATTTTAGATAATATTTATTATCATATCATTGATAGAGTTTAATTTGTATTTACAATTGATTAGTACATGACATGGAGAAAGCCAAACAAGACCACAAGCAGAAGATAGCAGAGTTAGAACAAGAACACAAACTAGAACTACGTGAGATGGAGCACCACAAAATGCTGGAGACTTCATCTTTATTCACAAAGGCAAAACTTGGTAAGAGCCACACCATATGTGTAATGATGCCTTTCTATAGACATACAGTTAAATTTTGATGTCTCAAACATTGATAGATATGTCCAAGTGAGTTGAAAGTCCCAAATATATTTTTTCTTTATGTATTTTAACCTCAGTATCTTGAATTCTCTCAAAGTTTTTTCTCAGTCCACTGAGTTTGAGATACAATGTAACAAAATTTGACTGTATATTTTTGAATCCTCTGAGGCATCACATAAGTACACTAATTAGTGCAGCTTTCCTATCGTACAACATGAAAGTCATATTTAGAGGCTTAAAGTTAGATTTGGCTTGTATTGATAACAACTATAAATGGATGTAGATATTAACATTTGCTGGTGAAGGCTTGTAGATATTTAAACCAAATGCAAACATGTTATTATTACTGAGTATATATTATTCTATAATGTACTATTTTAGATCTGAGTACAGCAGAAAAGGCATGGGAATGTGAATTTCTGAAGAATCTGGATGATTTAAATGTCAACTTGACAGATTATCTCGTGACCCAGAATGGCCCCCCTGTAGCTGAAGAAATCCGAGTCGTAAATACTGAAGCAAATGGAACAAAACTCTGAAAAGTCATTCGTTTACTTTAACTTCTGATGTTTACCAGCTTATTCATATTGATTTCCCATTTTATAAAGATTAAAACTGAATTTATTTCTTAGTACAGAGTGCAGAATTTGCAGTGCATGTTTTATAATTGAGGATGAATTGAAGTTTTTTTGATAAGAAACATGCTGGAAATTTGCATCATTTAATTTTGATCAAAATTTCACTGGGTGTGAATGTTCTGATTTATTGCATCTTGATTTGACTTGTTTTATCAAGATTATTTAGAATTAACAAAATTTTTGTTTATATTGTAAGATTTTTCCCCTTGTTTTTCCATAAACATTTGCATAGTACATGAAGTGTATAAATGTGTGAAGTAACAACTAATTTATTACAATGTTACAAATTGATAATAGTAACATTATTGGACAGTCATAAACTAGTAATACAATCAACATATATTTTTCCTTTGTTTCCATGAATGATATATATATATATATATATATATATATATATATGAGATTAAAATACTGTGTTTAAAATTTATTAAATTTAAAGCTAATTGTATGCTGAACAGCTATATCCAGTGTACTTGATTGTCCCATAAAATTGACTTGAATGAGAAAACTTGGCATGTACAACATTTTGTTAAACATTAGCAATGTCACAAAAGTTACTTCCCTTGACCTTGCCATTTAATATTTTTGTCAATTTTCTTTTATAATCATTATTACTTTGCATTGAAAATATGGACATATAAAAGACAATTTTATTGATATAAGTAAAATATTTACATTATTATAAAAAAATTTGCACTGAAATTTGAAATCTAAAAGCATGTGAGAAAACCTGAAAAATTGAATTAAAAGCACTTCCCCCTACATTGTAGGAAATTTGGCTGTCATTTCAAAATTGGAAGTAATTGTGTCAAATTTATAAATATTAAAAAAAAAAAGAAATGCATAGACTTGCATTAACATACGAGTACATGATTATTCATAGCTTTAATGTAAAAAAAAAAAAAAAAAAAAAAAATATGCATGCACTTTGTAGCAGCATCTAACTGGAGGCATATTTGAAGTTTATATTGCAATTTTGAAAATATAATTTTCATATACCTTCTGATAATTACAAGTCAAAGATGGGTTTCCATATTGTTTTTGGTATGGAATATTAAATCAAATTGGCATTATTATTTGAATCTTCTAATGTTTATAATAATTGAAAAAAAATTTACCTTTTCTTTGATCTTTCTTTAGAATTGAAATATTTCTAAGCTTCTGTGATATTTACATATACATGTATATATACATGAACCAGCGTATTATGTCTGATTTATTTATAATGTCAGTGCAAATGATATGGTAGTACATTGTAGAATTTTACTGTGACTATATATGTATAGATCTTGTAGAGTTTTATTGTTTAGACCTTTTCATTCTACAATCACATTTTGATGTCGACTGATTTATTTCATTTTACTTGGATAACATTATTTACAAAATCATCAAAATCATTTTTAAAGAAATTTAAGAGTGAAATAGTAAGGAGATCTTAAAAAAAGGAATGAAATTTTCCAATGGCAGCAGCTGGTAGCAAATTTGATGTACATTTTGTTTTTGGGTTTGTTGCAATAGATGAACAATCACAATTAAAATTGTATAATTATGTATCAGCTTAAATTAATTGTAATGTGTTGCTATGATGTCATATGATTTTTTTTCTCCAAAGGCTTCATACATAGTTTTAGTTGAACTTTTATTTATTTTATAATTTTTGTGTGTAAACAAACTGTTTTAATAATTGGTCAAATATTAATGTAGAACATTTTTAAAAGTTATTTTTTGAGTATACATTGGACATACTTGCTGTATTTATTTTATGAAATACATATTTATTACTTGAAATTATTTTGTTGAACATCTCTCCTGATGATACCATTTGTACAATGCATTTAAATATGCCTTACTTTAAAGAAAAACACTCATCATTTTTATAATTTAAAATAGAAAATTAGAGATAGTACTGAAATAGTATCACCTGTGCTGCTTCCCTTTGGTCTATGGTTTAGCTGTATTTCTTTATGTCACTCATTCAGTTACATACAGCTTTTTTAATTATTTCTCAAAAAGGCAAATTATAAATCACAAGTGTTAGCTGTATATATTTATATTATAATATATACATGTATATACATTTCATGTTTCTTTGATGATTTTTAAATTTAATTTATCCTTCCATTCCATTAAACCTTATTACACTGTGTATTAAGATATTTTTCATGTTAATGTTTATGATATGTTTATTAATTATTTCACATTTCTCTTGTAATACATTTGCCCCAGTGAGTACTCAAGCACTTAGAAGTAGCCCTTTCTATAAAGAAAACAATTTAGGATTTATACACCCTTCTTGTGACGAAAACCTTTGATTTGTTTATTTTGTTTGTTATGTTTTTTTTTTTTTTGTTTATATACCATCCAAAACAAAGTTTAGGGTGATGCTTATATTGACATCAACTTGTCCACTTATACTTATCCACAACACTGATAAAAGTACAAAAAATTTCAGAATACCTAATGCTGTGAATGAATAACTAAGAAAATGTGTTTTGAGCCTTCTCTTCCAATATTTAAGTATGAAATAGAGCTACATTCTCATCGGAGACGTCTAGTTTGGAATAGTTTTTGGGTGCTGATTGGGGCAAATATGGTACTTATTTTTTATTATTTCATGAATTCATGTTTTTACATCTAGTATATGTTTTTAACTACAAAACAGAATACTCATTAAAACTTTCTTATCTACATACACTATTGTTATTTTTTTTTCCCTGAGGCCATTCCAAGTTTTTTCTATGCTTAGCGTCCGCATGCGCCTTGGATTTAGACACACCATCTCAGAAAAAACAAACAAAATCAGGAGTCCTGGAATCGATTATTTTGGTCAAAATCTTTGAATTCTGACAATTTCTTTAAATATTTGTGTATAATATGTCATATTAGGTGTATTTAAGCATTTAATACCTTGAGTTTGCTAAAGAATACATGTAGATCTTTCTTCTAGAAAAATATAAAATGAAATCAAATCATTTGAATGACATCATTTTTATGACTTTCAATTCTGTGTTTTATTTTTGGGTTTGTGTGTTTTATGGACATAGATAGGTAGGTTTTTGAAAGATAGGTGGATGCTAAACAGAGAAAAAACTTGGAATGGCCTAATGTTATTATTAAGGGCCTCTATACACTTATAAATATGTGTTTGAACTTTGAGGAAATTTTATCGTGTAAAGGTGAAAATATTTACAAGTGGTTGATCTACTTCGTTTTCAACATATGTACATGTAGGGCACCTGTCATCCTCCTCAAAGTAAAACATTTCAAAGACAAAGAGCATTGATGAACAGAAATGGCTGCTGCTTACTTAAATGGAGAAATCACCTGCAAATAAAGTATTCGCTTTATTCATTTGGTTTAATATAGTGTAAAGAATACTTAAATTAACTACAAACTGTGAATACTAGAAACGCTATAGAATTCTAAATCAAAGGACAGATCCGACTACTGTATAAAAGTACAATGGAATTGGAACTCTTTAGTGTGCAGTGTAAAGAGTGTCCCTAAATATGTTTTGTACTAAATATTCTGTAGATTTTCTTTATGACAAGTCAGGTTCCGACTCTTTTTTTGGTCATCCTCTGTTGTTTTGAAATCATGATTTCGGACCAGTTGCAAGCAATTATTTGCTGATGAGCTGCAAAAAGATTTCACTTAAAGAGGACTCCGCCAAGTATTCACCGTGAAACTTAAACTGATTTTAATTAAAAATATATTTTGAGAGTTACCCCTAAATTTCGAAATAAAATTGAAATATACCGGTATCTAGACTAGAACATAAAGTATATAAAGTCTAATTCTAAGCAGAGCTTGATCGTGTCATTCACTGAGTAAATTTAATGCTAATTTTTGGACTAAATCGATTGATTGATTGATTGTATGTTGTTTAACGTCCCTCTCGAGAATTTTTCACTCATATGGAGACGCCACCACTTGCCGATGGAGAGCTGCAAATTTTGTCCTATACTCGGCACTTACGGCCATTGAGCAGTGAGGGGTCTTTTTCGTGCTAGCACCTACTGCGACACGGGGCCTCGATTTATACGGTCTCATCCGAAGGACCGATCTCCACGTCCCACAATGGGATTCGAACCCGCGACGTAAGGATCAACTCCTTACTTCGCGACTCTAGAGCAGACGCTCTAACCGATGCGCCACGCGGGCTAAATCGAATGCTTGAATGTTATATTGAATGCTTCCATGTATCTGCCCATGCATTGAGATGGTTGGTAGTACCGGGGCCTATCCGCACTTCGGTGGGCAATGCCTGGATAAAAGGGTTTAGAACTGACCGCCTGCCAATTGTTGCTCACTTATACGCCGTTAGTTTGGTCGTTCTATGAATTATGTGTTTAGGAACAAGGATTTACCGTATATAAATGTATATTTCCGGACTACTAAAGGATGATTCTCTATAAGGCCATTTTCCGGCCTACGATGAAATCATTTAAAAATGTAATTTTACGTAATTTTAATCTTTCTATTTTATGATTTTGGTGTTTATTTTTCAACATCGATCACATTAGTCATGTGATAAAGAGATAAAATATGGCGGTCAAATAAAGAAAAAATGAGGGTAGGTCTAATTAAATCATGTTTAAATGCGTGTTGCTTAATTTTATTGGTCGAAAATTGTTTATTTGTACAGAAGACATATCATACTAAAATAATATGTATATGAAATGTTTCAATTAATGATTAAATTAATTTTTCTGGACATAAATAGTGTAGCAGTCATATTTTGTAAAAATTGAACGTAAATCTTTACAAAATGCACACCGCATAACGCAATTAACCGTTAAAATATTTTGGTCAGATACTTTATTTAAGTGTATATTGTTATTTCCTACTGGTTTTATAGATGTGTCAACAATTTTTAGCATAATAAGCCTATATAAGAAATGAGGTGTCGAAGAGTCTTTCAAGATTGAACTGCCAAGGATGTGAATGAAATGCTGAACACATTTTAAGAGATCTTTTTGTGATTGAATAAACACTCAGTTGTTAATTAAAACAACTGTTCTAAATTAACAATAAAAAAAGAATAAAAGAATCCATTTACGTGCAGGATGAAAATATACATGTAAATACAAGTCGTTTTTTATATATATCATTTGACCAGTGGATTTATAAAATCTAGAATGGTTATACATGTAATATTGAAAATAATAATAACAAAGAAAGTGAAAGAACATCTTAAAATTCCTTTGCTTTTATTTAATAACTCGCGTAAATTATCTATGAGTTTAATTGAAAGAAAACGTTAAGCAAGCAATAATTTACAAATGGCATACATTTCAAAGCCAAGGTCTCTACCCCTCCCTCTTGCATCGACAGACATTCAGGAAAAAACGCAAAATTTTCAACAG